TTCATATTATCCGTTAACTCGCCCGTCCGTTCCATAAACTATGTATGTATAAGCAGTGCCGACGGAACGATTTGCGGAGCCTGGTGCAATTTTTTTTATTTCTTTTATCTCAGAAGTCACACTATTTTACTCGAAAAAAATTTATGGACATTTAGAACTCCTTTCAAATACGTTTTGATACACGTTTTAATATGAGTAGTGATGGTTCGAGGCACGTCGCGTAAGTCGCGGGGCCTGACGCGATCGTACCTGTCGCGCCGCCCTTCGGCTCTGTGGATAAGTACCGTCTAACAAGTAACAGTCAATGATGTTAGTATTCACACGTTTATTCTATTTTCATTTTACTAATACAGCAGGCGGTAGCCCAATTTCAATGCACATTTTTGATATTGTCTGGCTTATATATTTTACCTACCTGTAATATTAAGCGTTTAAAAAATGATTATTATACAAACAATCGCAAAACGCCCCGTTGTTTGATATAATAATCAAACCAATAATTAATTTGTGTATTTTTTTTTCTTTCTTTTAATTACACGGTACCTACGCGCGGTTCTCTGTGGCTAATCCCGGCTTGATCGAACAATATTGAATATTAAATTACTATTATAGGTACCTATAGGTAATACTCGCGGTGTAGGTATCCCTAATAACCTAATAACTAATAACCGCGTCCCAATAACAGCTATATAATATACGCGGCCCATAATTATTTTCTAATATATCATTTAAACCTGTACCTATATAGTTTAATAATATTATATATCAATTCGAGAAATTAAATTATGTAAATGATGTGACATTTGAAATCCAAGGACAAACGCGTAATTAAAACATAATATATAGGCACGATAGAAAACGTGAATAAACGCCGAATACAATTGTTATAATCGAATTCATTTTTTTTTTCATTTTTTGAGTATACTATAGTAATTGAGAATTGAGTTTGTTATTTTTGATATATTATTGAGAGGGCTGCGAAAAAAAAATTGTTTTACCTTAAAGTACTAAACTTATTTGTCTAACTTCTGTGTAGTTATTTAGATTCTGAACGAAGCGAATTGGTATTGGTTTGATTGGTCTTACAGTGATGTTTATTTTATATTTTTTTTTTTTTTTATTCTGTGTACGCATTTTCTACCAGAAATCTTGCTCCAATTTTTAAGTGTAGCATCTTTTCTGAAAGAAAATTTTATTTAAGTGATACTTTGATGACGTCATTTTTTGATTGTTCAGGATAATAAATGAAAAAACTGTTTAAAGATTAAAAAACGTAGGAAAAACGAACAATTTACGAAATGTATTATTTTAAAATCGTAAATATTACGGCCTTTCAAAACATTTATAACCGAACTCCGCTCATAATCATTTTTCGTTAGCAATGATTAATCATTGCATACGGATATACATTAAATTACCCTTCTACCTTCTCAACTTCTCCCCTACAAGGCTACAATAGGGGTCCACTCATCGTGCGAAGTATGTCCATTTGTTTTATTTTTTTTTTTTTTTTTTTATCATCACTTTATAACTAATTTTGAATGCCAAAATATTCTGGACATAATTGTTAGGAAAATATTGATTACCTAATGAAAAGCTAAATTGTACACTGTAAATGATTGTTATCAATTATGCGTATCGCTTTTCGTTATTGTAATATTTAGAGGTGTATATTTTAGTCAATTTAAACCTAAAAACCAAAAAAAACTGTAGATATAATTGAGTTTGCAAACTTTAATTTTTTAAAAGGATTATGATTCTTTAGATTCTGTTCTAGAGTGTGTGGAAAATAGTAATGTAATTATTTTACTGGAAATCGCAAAAACATGTCTGCGATTAACACAAAAATCGTTAGAATATTTTACAAATTGTACCACGTCTAAAAATGTCAAATATTATTTTATGAAAAATCCATGTCTCTACATATATTTTTAACCGAATTACAACAAATAAAATTGAAAAGAATTGAACTGTTCTTTCCATTAACTGTCCCGTGTCACCTAAATTTTTATCGCGGATTTGCCCGATCATTATAAGAAAACTGATTGGAAAATTAAAATACAGCATTCTCAATAAGTATATACTAACTAGAACCAAAATACAATAAAAAAACGTTTATCATGTTTTTATTGGAATAAGATTTCTGTAAGAAAAATTGTTAACAAATACAAAAAAAATATATTTACACATTCAAAACATAAATCATAGTCTGTAATACTAATACATTCATCGCTACGCTCAAAATTTAAAATAATTCTAACATATCGCAATAAAGAACCCAAAGAAACAATACGTTTTCAAAATTGAAATCCGTCGAATAAAATATCTATAGGCTTTTCCGTCTAAAACGTGACATTTGTCCATTAAAACCCTCTTTCCCTTCTTAATTCTTATTGGATAATATTTGGAAAACCATTAGGTAATATAAAAATGTATTATAATCAATTCAATGAATCTTACGGCACTGCAGTAGTTTATAATTACAATTTCAAAATTTTGTGTATAATCGGAAATTTTTAGTGCATTTTTTTAAAAAGTGTATAAGTATAATTTTTGCGGCTTTTTTTTGTTAAAAGTTTTTTAGTGCGATAAACTAACAACCCTAATTATAACAATTACGTTGCAATACAGCTAGATGATGGGGTTCTCCTTTCTTTTTTCTTTTTTTTATCAAATAAGGGTACGGAATCTTCGGTGACCTGCTATTGTCGCTTATACATAACAATTAACGACACGTCTACCGCATCGGGTCGGTCACGATAATCGTTTACATTAATTACCTCTCTTCTCCTAACCCCTCTCCGAGTGTTACACCAGCGGTAACATTTTTTTATGCTATACTGTACATACACGCGAATGAAAACTGCCCCTTTGTCGTCGGCGCCCGCGTGCGCGCACACACACACACACACACACACACACAATAATAATAATAATTATTATTATTATAATATATGCAAGGGTAGTTTTGGTGCACGCTGTGAGAATATAGTGTTGCACACACAAAAGAGGTTTCGTGTACAGGGAAAAGTTAATGAAGAACATTTGTGTGTTTACGTTATAATAATATTATTGTATATATGTGTGTGTGTGTGTGTGTGTGTGTGTGTGTGTGTGTATAAATGCAAAGTGGATTAATACGGTTATACAATATATACACAAAGATTTAAAGTAAATTTGATTTTGATATTATCCCTGTCACATTTTTATAGAAATTCGTTGATTATATTGCAGCATATGTTAAAATTAGACTAGGGTATCGATATTATTAAAACAAGTTTTTTTGTGCATATTTTGTTTTATAATTCGTTTCTGTTAGACTCGTGGATAAGCAGTAAATCATTAAAACTACGTATATCAATACCTTGTATCAATACACACGGCAATAGAATTATTCCGAATACCTATGTTTATACAATTATACGTATTAGCAACTTATGGTTGTCAAATGGCAAGTATATTAGTTATAAAACAACTTTTGTGGATAGCCGACTGTATAATATAGTCACATGCAAGGAATATAATATGAAATCGGTATAGACATTTACGAAGAAGAAGAAAAATTGTAATTAAGTGTATTATGTTGGTTATGTCTTAGATTATCTGATGATTTGATGATATAGAAATAGTTTATATTTTATGATTAATTTCGCACGCAACACTGGTAACGACTATATGTATCGAGCTATCGAGGTCAGGTACTTTTACTATGTTGTGCCGCACTCTGTTGGTTTACTTGAGTCATTAAATATATACATTTTTAATAAAACAAATGGTTATTCATATAATTCACGAACACCCAAGTTTTCTGGTAGTAGTGGCGCCGAACTAATTGTGTGTGTCAATAAACATTAATATATTATACCCCCGTACCTCTATACGGTATTAAACCTACCCAAGTCGTGGGGGGTATAGCTATAAAATATTATTTTGACAAATTATATTATTTACTGAATGTTTACATTTTTGCATCATTTAATATTTTGCATAAATAGGTACTTTAATTTTTAACTAGCACAGAAACTCTTTATATGATCATTAAAAACCGATATTGACGTTGGACAAAGACAGAAATAAATTGGTTTAACGATGATATTTATTTTGGATTCTGAGCATAGTGAGGGATCCATTGGTTTTACTATGATGATGTATGTTTTTTTATTATTATTATTTATTTTTTTTTTTTATTTTTTTTTTTTTTGTGTGTATGGCTGTGAACAACTTTTTGACCAGAAATCTTACTCCGATGTGTAGAGTTTCACACTTTTTCTGAAAGGTAATTGTGTCTATTTAGTAACCCATATAACCTATGATATAGAAACAATTTAGAATTTCGGGCATCAACTATGACAATATACCACACTGGTAACAACTATTGATATCGAGCTATCGAGGTCAGGTTTTTTTTACTATATTGTGTCGCACTCTGTCGGTTTACTGGAGTCATTCAATATATACGTTATAGACAAAACAAATGGTTGTTCGCATAATTCACTAACACTCGAGTTTTTTGGTATAGATACATTTTTGTTTGGAACTTTTTTTGTTGCTGCTTTCTATTAGACATACAGTATTATTGTCATATTCACATAGGATGAACACAGGGGCTAGCGCAGACGAGGGAGGGGGAGGATTTTTTGTTTCCGAAATATCAGGAACAAAAAATACAAATTACCTGACCTAAAAATACTAGTGAATAAATTTGAAAAAAATGATTAGTTACTTTTTAATAATAATAATATAATACAATAATGATTTGTAATAATTAGTTATTTAATAGTTTTCTGAGTGTAATAAATTATCGTCGCCACCAATATGTAACGGGAAATTCCCAATGACCAGTATTATCTAGAATACAGATAATTCTAGAAATTTCATTGTTCAATATAAACCACACGTCTACACCGGTAACGAATACACGGAAATAATATCTTGTTGTACCGCTATTCGCTAATTTTAATTGGCGTATTGTTATGACGACGTAGTGTCAAATGCAATTACAAAAATTCAAAATGAGTTAAATTTTAAAGTTTTTTAAACCACAAAATAAAAATAGCGCCTAAGTTCCGACTGCCAGTGGATCCAGACAAATCGTCCGTGGACAGTACATCAACTGAAAGACGGAAACCCGAAACGCCACGATCCGGTGCGAATCATAACGTGAGTTAACATTGTTAACCGTCTGTATGATTATTTATTTAGTTTTAAATTCTGTCGTTATAATATACCCACCCCCACAGTATAATAACATTTCGCCCTGTATGAAATAATAAATGTACGTGACGACGATGATGTTAATATTAATAAATACAATGTTTTATCTTTTTATTGACAAATTGTAATAATTAATTTACATATATATATGTGTGTGTGTGTGTGTGTGTGTTTGTGTGTGTGTATATTGTGAGTACCTAAAATAAAGAGTAATACCGTATGAACAGTATGATATTCATGAACATTTTATACTTTTTCAAATCCCCCGCCCCCGAAATATTTTCCTGCGTTCGCCGCCGGATAAACAATTTACAAAACAATAATATCAGCCCGATGCTTCTTACAAAACATAAACCCTAAACAAGTATATTGTAACGATGGGGCGGTCAATCAATATAATTCGGTCTATTGATACACAGCTGCCGGAGCTTCGGGCTTACGCATACAGTAGTCGGCTGTCTAATCGTTTTTCCATATTACCTACCCGTATGTGTTAGGGACGGGAATACGCATTTTTACGGTCATCCGACGTATTATGTCGGATGCGATGCGCTTCAATTCGGTCGTCATCGGTTGTCCGCGGAATGCACAGGGGGTGTTGTGGGTAACACGTTTCAAAAATTGTGCGAATAAACTGCCGCGGGTTCTGCGTTGTAACGTGCGCGGATACAACCAACGTAGACGGTTCGCGATAAAAAAAAAAAAACAATCACCCCGCGCTACGTGAAAAACCGCGCGGTCCCGTATTATCCCGTGCACGTCCGTATTGTTGTCCCGGGCGGCCGAAATATTACGAGGCGACGCGCGCGTGTGCGTTCAAAGAGAAAAAGCCCACGAGCCGGCCCCGGGAACGTCACCGCGAGAGCGGCGCGAGAACAACGCCGTTCTTCCCCTATGTACATCGTACGCTGTTGTGTATAACGTGCCGAAAATGGGGGGACGTCGTGCGCTGCGAAGAAGATGAAAAGGAAAAAAGGCAAAAAAAAAAAAGGCGAACGGTAAAAATATATTACAAGGGATTTCGTTTGAACCGTACGTATATTTACGACGCGTGCGTGTCGCCGGCCCGGGAGGGTCACGCGCCGCCCGTATACACATATGCGGTACACCCTGTATGTATATATATGTATTTATAAATACGAATACGGCCGCGAGTGCCTCGGAAAACACACTCAGACAGCGGCAATTCTCGCCTATTCATATCATTATTATCGTTGTTATTGTATACACTCGTCGACTATGATATAACGGACCGGCATTGTGCTTCCATTCCTTGGGCGCGTGCGCGTCGGGAAAACGAAACTTAATAGCCCGCGAAAAGCCTCGATAATGGTGGCGTGTTCACCGACATTATAATATAGTCTGGAAACCATTTATTTATTTATTTTTTCCTACACCTATACATATTATTATTATTATTATTATTATTTTTTTTTTTTATACGTACCGTTAATTCGGGTGGCGTTTGTACACACATATATGTATAATATTTTGTACACCGCGTTTAAACAGTTTTTTAATCGCTTATCCTATATAATAAAACCGCTATATTATATAGATATTAGATGTAGATTTGAGCCCACTCTATCTCGAAAGTCACGTAATCTAAATTCGAAGAAGGCGAATTTGTTCGATTGACTCATAAAATCTGTGAATTATGTAAACAGACCAAAAATATAACAAATTTGAAATTAATCGCACGTTGTTTCTACAATTTTCCCCAACTCACGGAATAAACAAATATCTGATAAGTTATTCAATACATTTTGGCCTTTTAGTATAAAGCTGTCAAGCAGCAGACCATTTATAGAACTCTATAATCACGTACGATCGACTATACATAATTCAACAATAATTTACGACACAAATTTTCCTATGTGACGATTACATTTGTTTGCAAGCTGTTGAAAAAACATCAATTTCATCTGAACCTCGTTTTAATTATCGTTAATAAACAGAAACTCAGATTACTCGAAAAATAGTCGGAACAATTAAAATAAAACATTTTTTAATCAATTTAAAATTTTTCAAATGAAACACGAAGAGAATCCTTATACATTTTATTTAAATAAAATACATCCAAATATTTCAAGTATTTAATACATATATATATATATATAATTATAAAGGAGTGTATTTACCCGTGTATAATGAAATCAAAAATAGAAAGAAAAAAAAGAAGGTACAACAAAGGGTCGCATGACATGGTCCAGCACCCAGTAACCAATTATAATAAGAGGCAAAGGCTGCATTGGCTATAATAGATAACGCAATGAGAAATGAAGAGTGAAATTGTAAAAAGATAAGAAGATAGTATAAGGGATAGTCGAGGTGATATGTGTTGGTGGAAAAACTATAAAATAGTTATAAAAGCCACGAGAAGAGATAAAAAAGAATTTTTCCATTAGTAAAATGCAATTTTGGTATTATACATACTTTTTAAGTTTAATCGAATATATCACATACATTCATATGCGTAAATAAATAATGTATAAAAAAAAATCGATCAATAATATTGGCTATTGACTTTGTAAAACAAAATTTTGTCAATGATCCAGTAATCCTTATTTAAACCGTATTAAATTAGTAGGATGTATAGAAATTTCTAATAAGTAATTAAATTAAAAACTACTAATTTTGAAGATTCGCCAAAGAGACGAATCAAAGTTATCGTTGTGATTGTATAGGAACGGGTCACGTCAAACTGTCAGAGAAAAAAAAATTAACGTGAAAAACATTCAGTTATACAATACGCGAATACCCTACACAATTTTTTGCAAGAAACTTTTCAAAGTTCTATTAAACATTCGCGTTTATAATATAATAATAATGAAGATCTTAATCAATGTTACTTATCCCCGGATATTTCTCTATAATCCGTGTTTATTTCCTGTTGTACTATATAACATTATAATAATAAAAATAATTGACAATATTTAACTCTTTGACAACTTAATAATTAAAATTAATTAATATTTCGCGCCCTAGCGTAAAAAAGTTTATTCGTAAAAACAGGTCCATAAAAAATATTTATTATGACAGATTATATTAGGTATATCTAATATACATATATATTATATACAGTGTGTCCTACCATCTTCGAAGAATTTTTCTAGCACTGTTAATATTACATTTTTTTCGATTTCTTTTTTTTCCAATCGGTTTATCGTCGAGGGAGTCATCGATTTGGATAAAAATTAAATTTTTATTTTCATCCCCTAAAGACAAAAAACAAATAACTTTTTATTTATTCACTTTAGACAATTTTCAAAAGAGCCATTTTGTACAAAATATTATTCAAACAATTTTAATGTATCACACATTCATATCCGATGAATAATTTCTCACTTATAGCCGTTTTCACGCCTATTTTCTTGAAATTAAAACGTCTATAATTAATAAAGTACTAATCGGATATGAATGTATTCTTAGAATACTATTTTTTACAAAATACCTATTATTAAAATTTTCTAAAGTAAAAAAGTTATTTTGTTTTCTTTTGTATTTAGGGGATAAAAATAAAAATTTAATTTTTCACCGAATCGAAGACATACAGATTGAAATAAAAATCGAAAAAAATTTAATATTTACAGCAATAAAAAATTCGGTCGACATGGTCGGGACACACTGTATATATATATAAATTTATCCATACTCCAAGTCCGGGTATTTAGAAGCCCCCGGGCCGAAATTTTTAATAAAACACTCAAAATAATATTTTTTATTTGTATAATAATAATAAAAATGTTAATTACCCAATATGTTTTTACAAACGAAAAACAATAGACGAAATAGATATTATAGATATCACTTCAAAACCCCACACGTATAATATTTAAATAAATAGGAATATATGTAAAATAAGAAGAAAAAAAAATTATCATATAATAGTGTCCAGTATAAAGCCATCGACAAAAAAGTAATAAAATATCAAAATATAAAGTTATTGATGATCAAATGAATAGATAAAGGACATAATATATCATTCACTCACTATTACAGCATTACGATTATAACGAAAATATTTAATTCAATTAATTTAACCGGATTACACGTTTTAATTATTTCGTTTGTATGTGCCGCCACTGTAATATATTATAAAAATAGTATTAATATTGTGTTTGGTTCAGCGGTGGATCTGTTGAGGTGGTGAGAAAGGTCTTTGTCTCCCCCGAAACCTCGAGTTAATATTTTAATAGCTTTTTTCCCCAAAGTATTATTTACGGTTTTTAAACGCATTACACCGGTATAATTAAGTACCCTAGGATACTACCGAGACTTGTTTTGAATTTCGTACGTAGAGTCGCAAATGCAAAGTTTATTATATCTATTGATCAGGCGCGGTTCTAGGACTTAAATTTCGTATGGGCAACAGTAGATTTAAAATTAGGTTTTAACTGCAAATAATATTCCTCATTTCTTCCTCCTTCCCCACAATATTTTTTTAATAAAATTATAGTATTATTATTATTATAGTGTATAGCTTAAAATAATCATATTAATTATAATAGATAGGTAATAAAGGTTTTAAATATAAAAAAAATAAAGTAATCTATAGTTTTGAACTAATTATGTTTATTTGAATATATTTAAATTTAACTGTCAAAAAATTTCAGACTGTTTAAACTAATTTAAAAAAAATAGTAAGCTAAATTTGAAATTGTATTCTTCTGTTTTGCATGCTTGCAAACACTTCAAGGACAGCAGTTGGATCTTTTAATAATTTGTCTGAATTTTCAAAATCAATTGATAAAAGTGTAAGACTACTTAATCATGAATTCTTCATAGTTGATCTTAAATATGTCTTACCACAGTGCATGGTGTAAAAACTGCGTTCTGCACTAGCTGAAGATACAGGAATGACCATGACCAATTCAATTATTTTTTTTACATGGTCAAAAGTCTCACCGCAGTTGCTTATTTGTTGATGTAGGTCAGCTAATGTTAAATTATCCAAAAATAAAGATTTTCCAATCAGACACTGGTTCTTCAATACTTCTTTAAAGTCATTAGTTGTATATGGTTAATACATATTACCTAATTTAACTAACAAATCTGAATTTAGAAATTCATTTGATTTGGGGTCACTTGCATGGATATAATTCAATATTTCATTGTTTTGGGTAAATCTATAAAGCATTTCATTATTTAAATTCATGTAAATTCATGTTATCTAAAATCTGGAAAAAGACTCTTTTAAATTCATTTTCTGTATCTTTGGACATGTTTTGTTTTTCTTTTCTACTAGTACTAGCACCAAGTATTTAATAAGTTAAATAGTTATCCAGTGTTGATGAAATTCTCTGTTCTCTTGTTGGACGTAGTGTATTGTTAGGTTCAATATTCAAAGTCTGAAATACACTTACAGCTTCATTGTAAATATTGATGAATATTTTATCTGACCTTAAATTGATCAATTGTTCCTTAGTGGATTTCATCAATTTTGCACAATGGCTATAGTCAAGTGTTGTTGTCTGTAAGTTTAATGATAGAATATTTACTAAAGACAAAATATAATTCAAACAAAAAAGTAACACAATAGTTTTTAAAAAATTAATTTGAATTAGTAAACCTTTAGCTTCACTAGCTTCCTTAGATTTTGAACTTTCATTACACTCTTTTAATTCTGTTAATACTAATGTAAAGTTGTTTTTAAAGTAATGAATACTTTTAAATTTTGATACCTAACGTGTGTCACAGTGCATAGGGATTTTTGACCCAGTTTTATCAAAAAATACTTGATACCTTATCAAGTTGATAAGGTGTTGATGATGACTGAAATGCATATACTGCTTCCAAGAGACCTATAGTATCATGTACTTCTTCTATCTTTCTTGAAACGTCAACTAAAACTAAATTCCATTTATGTGCATGGCAATGTATATATGGACACAAATTTCCTGACATATCTTTTATATATATTTACATATATTTTTTTTTGAACTCCGTTGAACTGATCAGACATAACTGATGCTCCATCGTAAGACTGACTTAAACAGTTACTCAAATCTAATCCAAAATTATTCAAAAATAATTTAATATTACAGCTTAGGGAATTAGCATTTAATTCTCTGAGTTTAACAAATCCTAAAAACTTTTCTTTTACCACTGAATTATGTACATACCGAGTACAAATACTCATTTGCTCTAATTTTGCATCGTTTCTGGCTTCATCAACAATTAAGCTGAATATTTTACTACCTTCTTGTACTTCTTTTAAAATAGACTGAGCAATCACTGTGGAAGCTGCACTTATCATATCATTTTGAATTATTTTACTAGTGTATTTTGCATTCTTTGGTATCGCTTCATAAGCTGAACAAAATGTTTGACTTAAAATACATAATAGCTTTACAAGCGCTAAAAAATTTCCTTTGTTTTCTGTTGCAATATCATTATTCACAACTTCAGAGATTTCAGTTGTTTCAGAATGTCCTCGCAAACCAATATCTTGCCTAGCACAATATATGGCACACCTTACTAAACTTTCTAACATTGTCCTATTTCTTGCAACTTCAATTCTTATTTGTGAGTCAATCATAGTTGTAACACTGCCTTGTATTTTAGAATTACACCACCCTTTATATTTAGCCAATGCTAATTTGTGTGTGTCACATTTATCATGTACTTTAGCCATACTGCCTATATGTTTCCAGTCTGAATAACCATGAATTGTTAGATTACCAGCTTTAGGGTTACAATGTTNAAAATTTGATCAAATTGTATTGAGTACTCAATCCATGGATACTGTTTATACCAAGTACTTTTAAAGGACTGTTTACTTTTACCCATGGATTTGTAAGGATAAACAATATTTGGTTGTACAGGAGGTTGATCATAGTTTAAACTTAAGTCTAATATTTTTAAAGATTTTACCAATTATCTGGTCGGTTCTGGGTTAAAAGCAATACTACTATTTACACTGGTGTTTTCACTAGCTGTAGAGTCATTTGTATGTACTGATGGAGATTTTGGTGTGTCTCCTTCAATTGTTTTTTCGGCCTTATGTTTGGAAAATGAGTTAAAAATCTCTTCATTATATTAAATTAATAGAAACAACGAAAATTCACAATGAGAAAAAAACAATACAATAGTCATATTATACCTACACAATATGTAATAATTTGTTATCACGTTATGCCGGCTATTATGAAGATAGCTACCGTTTCGAACGTCTGGTGTCGTTCGCTCCCGCCAATTATGAACTAAGATAGTACTATCAGCTGCAGCTCTAGCAGCAACATTATCACATAGATAATATATTAGCACGATTAAAGATATAATAGGTATTATATCTTTAATCGTGTATATTAGTAAGTTCGTCATCAATGTAATGATAATAATTTAATTGTAAATTATCAAATTTGATAAATATCAAATGATGAAACATCTTATTTTTGTACAAAAATAACATTTTTAAAATAATGGGCACCAGAAATTTTAGTACGGGTAGCTGCCCGCCCTGCCCATACGCTAGAACCGCTACTGATATTGATGAAAGCCAAAGTTCTATGCCCGAAACACAATTACTATAACCATAGTCCGTACTCTGTGGTTAAAATACAGCAAAGTAAACAAAATAAACTCACTTAAGTCAGTGGTTTTCATATAAAAACGCTTAATTTCTCAACATCATTTTTTTTTTAAATATACGTTGGTGTTATTACAATGTTTTATGTAAAATTTGATAGTAAGTGAATCGTTCTTATCTTTGAGGAAGAACTGACCCCATCACTTATGTCAATGTTACAGTGTTAACACACCAACACACTCCCTTGTCAGAGATATAACTTAAAAAAAATATATTTTAAACAATAAAGAAAATATTATGTCATTAAGCACTCTCTGAAACATGTAACAGTAAGAATACATTGATAAAAAAAATTAAACACTTAGCAGCTTTGATTTCAATTTATCAAAAGTTGGGTGATGTAGTGGCTTAATCAGTATATCGGCCAAATGATCTTCAGAAGGGCAGTATTCAATCTTGTACCATTCTTGACTAAGTTCATCCCTCATAAAATTAAATTTGTGAGAGACTGCGTCTGAATATCTGTCCTGATTTTTTCATTTGAACTGCACTTTGATTGTCCATGTAGAGTGTAATTTTGATTTATTTGTGAAACAGTTCTTCAAAAAATATTTTTATGTACTTCATTTCTTAACAGCAAAGTGCAACTACGGTGTATTCTAAAGATGTGTCGTTCGTTCACGAACTAATTCAATTGAACTATTCAGCAAAATAAACGATTCGAACTAGTTTGCATTTAGATAAACAATATCGTTCAACGTTTACTTTATACCGTTCACTATTTCCAACTACTGAATTACTTTACTGGACGAGTGAAGAAACGAAAATCTGTAAATCATTCATCGTTCACTTTATACCGTTCGGTGTTCACTGCTGCCATCTACTGAACTACTTCACTGAACGAACACATTGTTAACCTGCATTCTGTAAATCGTTCATCGTTAATTTTTCATACGGTCGGACAACTTGATACTGTCCATTGTACTGGGTGTCTGGGTTAGTAGTGTAATCAATTTATCTATACATTATAATATAAATCACAGTCTAGATCACAATCTTAGAAAAACAGGTCTGACGACTTATCCTTATAAGTGTCCGTTTATTGAGGCAATTTTAGTTCAAATTTTACTTACGAATACTGCCAGTTATACTTATTGAGGTTATGAACTTAATGTTATTAATTACATGAGTCGCTAAAATTCCGCCAAATTTTAATAATTGTTGGTGTATATTTTGATATATACATATTATTGTTATTCACTAGTATTGTATATTTGGCGGGTTACACCAAGACACGAGGTTAATGATAAGGTAAAAAGTACCGTTTATTTACAACATCAAAACATAATACAAGTGTTCGCNATACATAAAAATAATTCGGAGTCGGAGAACAATGCTTCGCGTATGGCGTCGGCGAGGAGAGAGCGAGCGGAGCGGTCGAGCAGTCGAGTAGCGGAGCTGTGTGCAAAAACCGTTAAACGCCGACGGCGAGGGGCGTGGCCGACGTCCGCTACGAGCGACGCGCCGCGGGAAGAAAGAAATGTGAGTCCTCTCGGAGAATGATAACGTTGTGGTTCGCCACATATACATAGATAATACTACATCTTGCTGATAATATTTTATCCTTAATTAAATTTTAAATACTAATAATTTTCTTTAAAATATGCCCAACAATATATGTTTATTTGGATGCAATAAAAATCTCAGTTTTATCTATTCCAAAAAATGATGACATTAAAAGTGAATGGTTGAAATCTCTGGAGGTCGATAATTTATATGATAATAATGTAATTTGTGCAAAACATTTTCGTATTAATGATGAGGCCGTGGACAATTTACTGTGATATAATCATAGATATTCATATGTTTAATATCTATGATTATATATATAATATATATTGATATCATAACATAATTACATAACCTCAATAAGTATAACTAGCCGCACTCAGCAAATTATTATTATTATTAGTATTATTATTGTTATTATTATGTAAGTATTTATTTTTTAATGTAAATTCAACTAATAAATACATTTTTTCTTAACTTTTAAGTATAGGTATTACAAGAAGAAAAAACTGAGAAGCATTATATGTATTATGTGAAGAAGGCTGCTAAGATTATAATTAATTTCTATGCGTGATATGAATATGATATTTATTTTAAATATAATATTGTTACTATTACAATATACTACTATAATTGGGTACAGACATTACTAATAATATTCAGTAAACATTTATTATTAGTATAAATAAATTTATATATATATATATATATATTCATAAGTTTTATAAAATATTTTATAAAACTCGAAAACCTACTTATATGAAAATAAAAAACAACTCAACATTTTTCAACAAATTAATATTTAATAAAATAATAATCAAAATAATTATAAGTTCGAATAAAAAATTATAACAAAATAACTAGTTTTTTTTTTCTAAATTGCCTAAAGGCATTTTTTTATTTAAACGATAAAAGAATCTTTATAAACATAAATCAATAGAAGTATTTATACACACAATGCAATATATATAAACACAAAACTTATGTGGGATTTTACTTCCACTGAAGCAGCCCCATTCTTAATCTAATAGTTAGACAAAATCAAATGGCTTCAGTCGTTTAAGTTAGCTGATGTCCTGCAAGTTGTCAAGGAGTTGTATGGCAGTCATATGTATTTTTGTGGAGCTCCAGTCTTCTTGCATGTTTGCGAGCAAACCGGGTAATTTCATCCTGCACGGATGATATTTTCAAATCACGGTAGATGATGTCGTTCTTATCATACCGATATACTGCGACAATAGTGCGAAGCTCTAGCATTGTTGTATTATTTCGATATTAGACTTACTGGCACAACCCCAGTTGAATACCATAAATCCAAATCGATTTAACAATTGATACATACAAGAAACGTTTGCTAGTTAAGTCTAACTCGTAGTTTCGTCCAACTAGCCAGTACATTTTGAGCATTTTTAAGTTTTATTTGCAACTTTTCTGGCTTACAGGATGTTTCTAGTCAAGTCGTGAGTCAAGGTGCATTCCCAGATATTTCGCTGAATTATATGCTGATTTAACGAGAATAACTAGTAAAAACAAAAATAAAATAATAATATAATAACAATTAACATTTAAAAAATATTTAAAACAAATTGTAAATATAAAATCAAAACTAACAATATCAGAATAATTTTTGTCAATACTTTAAATATGCAAAAACAAAATAATATAATAGTTGTAACAGAATATCTGTAGTCAAAAACTTTAAAATAAACTAATATATAAATAATAACAATAAAAATTTTAAAACATATCTTGAACAAATGGGATACATAAAACAAAATAATAAAATACTAATTATAAACAAAAAACCATAACAAAAATAATACTAGTCAATACTAAAATTATTTTATAGATTTTGATTAAAAAATAAAACTAGTGAGGACTTAGAGAATAGTATTATTGTTCTTTTTTCTTTTATGACCATACCTGTTTTGCTGAATAATCCCTCGCATTGCACAAAAGTTGCTGTTATGCATAAACGTTTTTTTTTTTTTTTTCATATGACATTGGTTATAATATACTCACAAAATATAAAGCAACAAAAATAAAATAATAAGTATATAAATAAATGGGTTTTTGAATAGGTATATATGAATAAATAAATAAGTAATAGGTATAGATAAAAATAAAAAAGTGAAAAAGTATAAGTATGTTAACAGCACGTAAATAAGTAACAATATAAAACATTAATGTAACATAACAAGGTAACTACAGTTATAACTAGTGTTTAGAGGGATGACAAATTTCAAATAAAATATTACTCAGGTTATTATACATAAACGTCTTCACAAACGAAACTCCAGGTTATTTATCCATGTTACTGCATCCTCTTCAGCCTTGTGAAGTCTTGCTATACCCCCATTGAACTTAGTGTTAGGGCACTCTTCAATGATATGTTGAATGGTTTGTTCTGCTCCGCACGCACACAAGGGAGAATTGGTCATACCCCATTTATATAAGAGACTTTTACTTCTACCCTGATTAGTCCTAGCTCTGTTTAAAGCTGTCCATAAGTGTCTGGGTAGGTTGAATCCCAGGACTCTCATCATTGGGTCTGTAATCAATGTTGAGTTTTGCACTCCTGAATGTTTCCAATGATTTTTCCATACCTCGGGTATTGACTCTTTCGGGAATGTCAGATCCCAGATAGGGTGTCTTGACTTCAGTCTTTTTTGGGGGTGTGAGATGATGTCGTTATATAATGGTAGTTCAGGGTTGTTCATTACTTTTGTTACTTCCTGATAAGCCTTCATTAACCTCCTTAGTTCTGGAGGTATTATGTTCGACAGCACCGGCAACCATTGGGTTTGAGTAGTTCTCACAGTCCCCGATATTATTCGCATTGACTTGTTGAGCTCTATGTCTATTTTTTTACAGTAAGCACTTCTTGACCATACTGGTACACAATACTCGGCCACGCTATAAACCAATGCTAATGTAGATGTTCGCAGGACTTCCGCGTTACTACCCCAGCTTGTGCCCGTTTGTTTTGCTATTATATTGTTTCTAGTTTTCAACTTTTTTTTCATTGCCTCTATATGATCCTTTAAAGTTAGAGCTCTGTCAATTTTTATCCCTAGGTACCTTGTGCATTCACTATTGGCCACTGGGGTGTCCCCTATCTTTAATTCTAGTCTTCTGTTGGCTTCCCGGTTATTCAAGTGAAGAGCTATCGCTACCGTTTTATTTGGATTTAATGTAAGGTACCAGTTGTTCTATTGGCAATTTATTTTCTAGTATCAGTCGCAGCTTCATAAGAATTAGTCTCTCAAAAACATTGTACACCGTTGATAGTAGCGAAACTGGTCTATAGTTGCTGGCATCATTTGCAGCTTTCCCCGGTTTTAAGATGGCTATCCCTCCATAATTTTGGAAGGACTCCGGAATTAGCAATGTTTGTTGTTAATTTAGCTAACCAATTTCTACCTTTGACCCCTAGATTTTTCAGAAATTCAGGTAAGATGCCATCCGCACCAGCAGCTTTGCCATTTTTAACAGCTTTTAAGGCTGTATCAACTTCGCTCTTGGTAAAAGTATCAAATAGTGATGGCGAGTCCTTGCATCAAGAGAGTTCATTAGCAAGCAGTTTTCTAATATCAAACTTTTCTTTTTTTTTTCTGTTTGATGTTTAATACTTTAAATAGTTGGTTAGCTATCGCTTTCACTGAAACCTCCTCCTCTTTGCGAACCGGTTGGGCCAACCCCAGCTTTTTAAGGAGTGCCTAACTTTTCCTGCTTGATTTCGAAAAGTCGAGGTTTTCTACTGCATTAATCCATCTTTTTCTTCTCTCCTCTCCTCATCAAGTAAGTTCGTTAGCCTATTAGCCAAGATATCACTCCCGTTTTTCTCGTATTCTCTGAGTACCTCTTCGCATTCTTTGTTCCAGCATGGGATGTAGTTCTGAACGTGTCCTCTCGGTATGGACTTCGTCGCTGCCGTCTTGAGGAGCTTAATGAATCTGATGTAATTTCCTTAAACTAAATCTATTCAATTGATGTTATCCTCAATGTATTTGGAATAGCTATCCTAGTTTGCCTTGCGCAAATTCCATCTAGGCAGTTCTAGTTTATTGAACCTGGGTAGGTTTATTCCCACTTCTACTACAATTGGACAATGTTGACTTTTGGGGAACTTATTCAGTATTGTACGTCTTACTTGTAAGGGTTGGACTGACTCATTTTTTTGTAACGAAGCAAAGGTCCAGGGATGTAGAGGTACCCCATCTGCCTGAGTTGAAGGTTCTGCCTTGCTTAGCATCAAAAACCAGGAAAGTGTGGTTAATATTAGCCCAGTTGATAAGTTTCTCATCATTTTCATCCTCCTCATTATACCCCCATTCAGTGCAGTGGCTATTGAAGTCTCCTATGAAAATTTCCGGGTGTTGACAATATGGAAGCACGGAGTCGCACCACTTGCTTGAAGGCGGTTTGTAAACATTATATATTGTGATGTTCCCAATGCTTATACCGATAGAATGCTGATTTCCTTTCAGTCTCTTAATTATCTGCTGATCTAATTATTGATTTACGTAAGTTGCTATTCCATGTTTGCTCTGCAGAGATGTGTGTTTCCTATATAGTCAACACGTCCGCTCCTTGGAATATTTTCTCCAAAATTTCTGACTTAGATTTAGTAAGGCCTTCCACGTTTAATTGCACGATACTAATATTTCTGATTGAGTCTTTACAAATCCCTTCGTTGCTATTTGCTTGATTGTTAGTTTTGTTTATTTTGTTTTTATTGTGCTTAGGTTTGTATTTTTTTTTTTTTTTTTTTGATTTTATATTTTTTATTTTGTATTTTGTATTTTTAGGCAAGTCTACATGTATTTTGCATTTGTTATTGGAAAGGTAGCCCTTAAAAGGGCTTTTTTTGACGATATAGCCAGGAGGTCCAAGAACGTCTGGCTGTCTAATTGATTAAACATAATAAACAGATGTAGATACAAGAATTTATGTGCATTCTACCATTTCAATGGATCTTCACATTTGCTTATAAGTGGTTTCTGTAAGAACCTGTCCAATTTAATAATGTCAGCCACTGTTGGATTAATTGATGTTGTCATTGTATCATAATGTTCATCAAACATTTTCTATAGTAATGATAAAGAAGAATATGTAATTTCATTTCTTGTTGATGTAATTAGATTATCTGTTCCTGGCATAATGATTTGATAGACTTCTATTTAATTAATCAATTTCAAGTTCCAATTTCTGTGGATTATATCCATTAAATTCCATCTTTATGAACCTTGGATCAATAAAAGCCGCATATGTCACAATCTTGTTCTCTTCATAACTTGCAAATCTATAATTTGATTGTTTCAATAATGTTGTGACCAAATCTTTTATTTCATATGATAGGGCTACATTGTTTTGAAAATTCAATTGTGTTGATCATTCCTGGAATAAAAATTAAAACTTTAGACATGCTTAAATACTGTTTGCTGCTTATTTCTCTTAAAATATTAATTGAATATTCAACAATATGTCACTTCACCATAGTCAGTGGTTCTACATCACATTAAAAAATAGCCAAGGTTGAAACAACATCATCTTTAATTTCAATTATTCGTTTAAACATATGTATGCTGTTCCATATTGTAACGACATCCTGCTTTAATTTCAGTGACAGCAAACCCATTTGTTGTTGCATTGACTACAGTTTAATCTGGGCATGCAAGCTTCTTTTAAAATGTTCTACTATCATTTTAACTTTTTTTTTAATGTGGCTTATATTCCTTAAACCTTGCTGGACAATTAAATTTACATATGGTTAAAACAAAATATGTATCGAAAATTGCAATCTTTTATTACTCCTACAATATTGGGTGCATTATCACTTATAATTTCAACAACTTTATTTTCTACATTCCATTCTCAAACAGTACTTTTTAAAAATAAAGATAGATTTTCAATGGTATACCTCTCTTAAAATGTTTGACAACTAAGACACACTGATTGGAGTGAAGCATCTTTATCAATAAAGTAAGCAGTAACTACCATGCAACTCTCATTTTTTATTGATATCCATCTATTTCTTGTCTGACACACTTCAAAACAATTGATTATTAAAGCTTGTACTTTCTCATATGTCTTATGATAAAGAAGTGGTATCATACTGTTGGACATGGTTTTCTTGATGATATTTATCATTACTATTAAACATTTTGAAAAATTTTTTAAATTCTGAATTCTCTTCAATATCAAATAGATAATATCTAAAAAAAAAAAAATATTTTCAATGATTTTTAATAAAATTTAATTTAATAAGATCTACAATAAAATAAAGTTAATTTATTAATAGTGAGAATTATATTTGCTCATTTCACAACAATAGTTATTAAACATTAATTTATATATAATTATTTTTTATGTATTACATTTTTTATGTATTATTTGTAAAAAAGGTACAATTGTTTTGAAATAATATGTAATATCTTTTTAATGTATGCAAATGTCGTGTTGTCATTAAAATTAATATATTTACTGTTTAACAATCATTTTGGTTAATTGTTGATCTATTCGTTTTAGACTACTGACATCTAGTGGTTTTATGTTTGAGAAATAATTAGATATTGTCAAGTACCAATCTGGATGATGCCAAGGTAAACCAAACGATCTAGCAGTAGTTGAACAAGAAATATCAGATATAAGCGTTTTTAAATTGTAATACTTCACACACTCAAAACTCTTTTAAAAATGAAAATGACAAAAAAAAAAAAAAACAGTGATAAAATATTTTTATCTTTAAGTTTGATATTAGATCAATTCACTCTAATATTAAAACAAAGAGCACAGAGTCTGAACCAAAATAAGTAAGCCGGAGATAACACGTTATAATAATATATCATCACAGAAAACATCCTCTTAATTAAATTAATATTATTGTATAGGTAGGTAACAAGTACTTATAAATGATTATTTAATTAAAGTTAAATCAAATTATTTTTATCTATTAGCCTATGTAAAAATTGAGGGAAAAATACTGAACAAATTAACAAAATTATTCCCTTCTTTTAATTTAAAAGTTTGTATTAATTGTTAAAAAAATAAAAAGCTATATCTATTATTGTATCATTAGTAAGTATCTTAATTGATAATTATTTTATTTTTTTTTTTAACTCAGAAGAAGTTTTGTATATAAATGATGGTAGATACTAACCAGCAGCACACCAAAGTGGTGTAACTTCATCAATTAGTGAATCCAAAAGTCGCACCCTTCCTGTNAAAATATATTTAATACAATTTAATTTACTATTATCAAAATCAAGTTTACCTGGTTAAGTATCTTTTGTTTAGTTTCTGGATTAGCAAGGATGTTGTTTAGTCTTTTTAAACAATAATCTATGTTACCACTTCTCAGTGCGTTATGTAGCGCAACAAAATTATTTTCAATTCGGTCCAATTCATGCGGAAAATAAAGTATATTTGACCGCATATCCAAATGCTCACTGTACTCATCCATGATTGAAATATAGATATTTAGATAGATTCTTAAAAATATAACATTACATTTATGAAAAAAAAAATGGATATAGTTGAAATTATAGAAAACAAAAAAAATTGTTTGATTTATTTGTGTTAATGCTCTATGAATAATGTTTATAATATTACTATTATGGCCTGTTTATAGATATTCATAATAGATTCATAATATTTTTAATTTCAAAGTAACTACTTCTACATAAATATCCAGATATATTTTAAAAATATAGCTGGGTATGGTAGACCTCAAATGTCAACATTAGGAACATTATCTGGTTCGTATAGTCTTTTTGAATTTTAGCGAGATATAAGTGTTTTTAAATTGTAATATTTCACACACTCAAAACTCTTTTAAAAATGAAAATGACAAAAAAAAGCAATGAGATAATATTTTTATCTTTAAGTTTGATATTAGATCAATTAAAAAGTAAAAGTACCTATTATGACATTTATGAAGAAAAATATTTTGTAAGCAAAGTTAGTTATTAGGGATGAAGTTATTTAAAAAATAAAAAAAAAACAAAAATAGATATATTGACAAAAACCCTTTGACATGGGGCCAAAGCACATACATTACGTATATCTACACTGTCACTTTGTTTCACTGCTGGGGAATATGCCAGCCCTGTGTGGAGTAGGTCTGTCCACACAAAACCAATAGATACCATTCTGAATGAATCCTGCCGTTTAGTAACAGGTTGTCTTAAGAATACTCCACTTCCTAAAATTTACCAACTTGCTGGTATAGTCCCACCAAACATCTGCCGGGAGATCATAACAGACTCGGAAAGAACCAAAGTAGAAACTGACATATGACACCCACTACATAGTTAAAATACACCTAATTTCAGACTTAAATCCAGAAAGAGTTTTCTAAAAACGACAAAACTTAATCTAAACTATAACAAACATACAAACTCTGACAACTATGTTACCATAAATTACAATTAATTCTATCTATATTTCTAATTATATCTGTTAATAAATTTATGTATTTTATTATTTATATCCATATTGACTCTGAATTGTATATATTTTATTTATTTATTTAAACTTATCTAATTATGATTTATTTCCATTTGTTTGTACTTATCTAATTATGGTTGTATGATACGAAAAAAAAAACTTTAAAATCAAAATTAAACTAGTTTTACTTATTCTGCATAAGCATTGTTTTTACATGTTATCTGGTAGTTAGACTGATACAGTAAATGTGGGTATAACATCCTCTTAACAATAAAATATATGATTCAAAATAGTTATTTAATTTTTAACTCTGAGCAGTGGATAAATGTGTTGTATAAGGTTTACACAATATAAATTGAAAACAATAGTTTTTTTTATGTTCTTAAATTTTGGATCAGAACACAAATGTTTAACTTTGTGGATAGATTTTATTATAGAAAATTGGATCTAATTGGTTAAAAGTTGAAGATACTAATGCAAAAATGGGAATATTTAAATTCAAAGATTCAACATCAACTGAAAAAAAATCAATTTTTTATAATTTGTTTTCAAAATATCAAACAATTTTATAGGTACTTATTTGAGTTTCAATTTTTGAAAAATTGCATAATTTTTAGATGAAAAAATATGATTTTAGTTTTTTAGTTACAATTTAATAAATATTAACCGTGGTGATTTGAAACTTTTTACTATTACGAATATTAATTATTTTCTATACATAATAAAATAATGAAATTAACTGAACTAGTTTTAATTTTTTTAAATTATTTAACTCATTATTCATACCAATAATATATTATAATGGAGTCGTCAAAAAAAAAAAAGATTTAATCCATGAATCTTATTGTAATGAACACGGTCATCTCTAAAATGAAACTAATTTTTTATTCTAACTTTTTTATTCTTTATAAATTGGGTTTAAAAATTAATAAATTAAAAAATATTCAAAACGATGGGTATTAGCGGGAATCAAATGGGTTACCACTGTGACTGAAATCACGTCTTATCATGTATCTCAGTTTGATAATATTATTAAAAAGTTTTTATCAGTATGTTAACCTTGGTATACCTAATGCTTGATAAGATAAATTTTAATTTGCGCCAAAACTGATCTTTATAAACTAGATTTTAAATTGTAAGTTCTAAAATAAGCCTTCAATCCTTCCAGATAAGCCATTATGTTTAGGTGTGTGTGGAATAGTATAATTTAGAACAAAAACTTTATTTTTGCACCATAATTTAAAAGAATTGCTGCTATACTCAACTCCATTATCGCATCTTAATTTTGATGTTTTAAGGTTAAAATGCATTTCAGATTCATTTATAAATTCTTTAAGAAAATCAATAACTTCATCTTTTTGTTGCAGTAAATACACTTTTAAAAAATGAGTGTAATCATCAATGTATGTCATAAAATAATTTTTGTTGTGTGCAAGTGGATTTATTTTTTCACATATGTCCGAATGAATAATCTCCAAAGTTCTTATGGCTCTTTTTTTTAATGTATTGAAAGGAGTTCTAACGAGTTTGGCGTTAATGCAAGTTTCACCACTTTAATTCACTTTTACACTTTTTGATTATTTCTGGTACACAATAACACAAGTGGGGAATTTTCTTTAAATTGTTAAAGCTGATGAGTCTGTGCCCCTTGTGCCAATATTCCATGGTTCCTGTAGTAAAAGCTTCTTTAGTGTTCCTTGATGCTTCTATGTTCACCACATAGAGACCATTGCTATTCTTGTATCCTTGTATCAACATCTTATTGTCCTTGAAAATATGCACTTAATTTTTTGTGAATACTTCTTCATCACGATTAGTGATTGCACTTACTGACAGTACATTGCTGCGTAGTTCTAACACATATGTTACATCGTTGAATACAACATTATTTGTTTCAACAGTACCAATAAGTTCACTCGTAATGTTGTCATATTTGGCCACATTTATTATCACTAGTTTGTGTGGTATTTCTGCATTCTAAATAATGTTTTCTTGATTTGTTAGATCAACTTTACATGCACTGTCAACAACAAATTTTAGAATCAACTGTTTTATTTTTCTCACTTATAATTACTTTAGTCAAAAAACTGACTTTCTAATTTTTTTAATCTTTAGAAAACAGTTTTCCTCCTTTGTCTTTATACAGATATTGCACAGCGAATACTGTTTGTATTCCCTGTCTTTATCCTTAAAAAAACCATTTTCTACAAGATAATTTCGTTTCTTACAAAAACTGCATGGAGGGTAGGTATTTTTCAATTTCTTGTTGTTTCTGAACTTAAATGCCTTGAAAGCGACAAATTCTTCTTTAACACTACCTTTTAATAAATTTTTTTCCTATGATAATCTTGACTTCAAAATATCAAGGGTTCTGTCTGTGTCAGAAGCAGAATCCCAAGCATTTCTGAAATGTTTATACTGGTCTGTAAGGATAGTCATAATTTTTATTACTATCACTAATATCGTCTCCAGTAGTTTGTGTATAGTACAATGTATAGTACTACTAACTTATATTAGTCATAATATCTTTTGATTTGTTCCAGGTATAATTAAAAAAATCTGTTTGTAATTATTGTCTCTATGTTGCAGTTTGTTTGTCATGGATATTCTTCAAAATGTCATACATATCTTTTGCAGTTTCACATGTTAAAATGTGTGACTTGATATGCTGGTTAATAGTTCTTATTATATAGTACCGTGCTTTGGCATCCTTAGTTTTCCACTTATCTTTAGTTTCCTCATTGTGCACTTGTGGACAATATTTCTTCACCCCTGACAATTTAATATAGTTGTTTTGCATGAAGCATTTTTGTTTCAAATATCCAAAGTGTATATGTTTCAGCATTATTGAGTTCAAGGATGCTAGACAATTATTTTTCTTCCATCTACATGTTTTCTCTGCATATCTATAGTTTAAAAAAATTATGACTTACCCATTAATGTGCGGTAGGTACTTTTCATGAATCTTCATGATGATTCAAATATCCACACCATTAGACCAAATCTGGACCTATAACTTTTTAATCGTACACACAGCTTTTAGAATTTTTTAATAACCTTTTACAGTTTTAAATTAGTATTTAGGTTTTTCAAAATAAAAAACGAATTTACATAGCATTTAAAATATTAGATATTTATAATAAGCAACGGGATAGGTCAGAAAAAATAATATTAATACAGTAGCTGCACTAAACTATATACTATGGAAGGCGTATAATGCATATTTGCCATATAATAAAAGTGAGCGGCCTAATAGGCTGCCATTGTGATTCCGTTTCAGTGATAGTTTCTGACTTCAGGGGCATAGTGTAAAGTAGTTAGCATACCACACCAATTTTATTTTTAGTTTTATTATCTTTTATCGCCGGTTTCAAACAAATTAATATTAACAATATGAGGTCAGAAACAAACATCAAAAACCACTAAATGAAGTTAGCCACGGCACGTATGATATCGGAAATAATTGAAACGGAATCACAATGGCGGCCTTTCCATGCTACTCAATTTATTTACATTATGCGCCTTCCATAGTACATAGTTCAGCAAATATCTGACATCTTTGTAAAACAAATACAACATATAGATAGAAGAAAATAAGTTTATGTCGATGTTACAGTGTTAACATTACACAAACGACTAGGCATCACTGAATTTTGACGCTGTTTCAGCCATTGTACTTGCGTCGATTTCATGTCATTTATTTCATGCTTCTCTACGTGTGTAAGTAAGTGAAACTTTTTATTTATTACTAAGTTATATTACCTATAATCGTATTTATTTTTTTTTTTTTAAATTCTGAGTGGAACGATTAATTTATTGATCTTACAATAATTATTTGTTTATGTGAACGCTTATTCTACCTGAAAGCATACTCAGATCATCAGATATGGCACGTTTTTTAGACAGGCGGGTTTTAACGGCTGATGCTATAAACAAGTAATTTTTTTAAATTCTCATTGATATTCCAAATAATGAAGAAAACCTCGGTCTTTAGGTTAAAAAAGATTGAAAAATTAAAAACAACGTTGTCATTGCCAACCGTTTTATTTTAATCTTTTTTAAACAATCATTGTCATGTAAACGCACATTGTTGTAATAATTTTACCATAATATAATATATATATATATATATATGACATATCATATATTGTATTGTTAACAAAGCCACACTATCGACTGAACTCTGATCAGAATTGGTTTTTCGTTAGCAATGGTTTATCGTTGCTTACAAATTTACATTAAATTCCCGTCTGTAGCCTACCAATTTCCCACCTACAAAAGTGGCTGTACCCACGTACGAAGTATTTTCGTTCTTTTTACTACCGAATTTGTGAAGAACATTATAATAAATAGCCTAACGCCCACCAGCACAGACGAAAATTTTTTTTTTTTCTCTTTCTTTGTGATATAACACAGGGAAATATTTTTAAATTGTATAAAACAGTCACTACTTCTTGACGTAAAAATAATATAGAAAAAGAAAAAAAAGGTATTTCTTTAATATTTAAAATACGCATATCAAAAAATAATTGAAAAGTATTTCAAACAATTAAAAATTATGGTAGAAAATATTGTACATTAATTTATTTCTCCAATGTGGCCTTACTGCATACTATTAATCCATATTGCTCTATGTTAATATTGTTTATGTATCGGTCATGGTAAAAGATAGTGTTCGTGATTACGGTATAAGTTTAGGCTTGTGTTAATTAGTTTAGACTGATTGAAGAATAGAGATTATTTTCATTAAGTTCGAACTTGTAGAGTTGTAGCTAGACATTCTAGTACCTCTAGTTTCTACTGTCAATGATATAATCTATGAAAAGGCCATAATAGTAATATTATAAACATTATTCATAGAGCATTAACGCAAATAAATCAAACAATTTTTTTTGTTTTCTATAATTTCAACTATATCCATTTTTTTTTCATAAATGTAATGTTATATTTTTAAGAATCTATCTAAATATCTATATTTCAATCATGGATGAGTACAGTGAGCATTTGGATATGCGGTCAAATATACTTTATTTTCCGCATGAATTGGACCAAATTGAAAATAATTTTGTTGCGCTACATAACGCACTGAGAAGTGGTAACATAGATTATTGTTTAAAAAGACTAAACAACATCCTTGCTAATCCAGAAACTAAACAAAAAATACTTAACCAGGTAAACTTGATTTTGGTAATAGTAAATTAAATTGTATTAAATATATTTTTTTTTTTTAGAAATATGTTGGTTATGACAATCAAATAATGACACTTCTAATTGAATCGATTTTAAGGAACCAACAATCTTTTGCAAAGACGTTAATAGCCTCTCATGTAAATGTGAATGCCACAGGAAGGGTGCGACTTTTGGATTCACTAATTGATGAAGTTACACCACTTTGGTGTGCTGCTGGTTAGTATCTACCATCATTTATATACAAAACTTCTTCTGAGTTAAAAAAAAAAATAAAATAATTATCAATTAAGATACTTACTAATGATACAATAATAGATATAGCTTTTTATTTTTTTAACAATTAATACAAACTTTTAAATTAAAAGAAGGGAATAATTTTGTTAATTTGTTCAGTATTTTTCCCTCAATTTTTACATAGGCTAATAGATAAAAATAATTTGATTTAACTTTAATTAAATAATCATTTATAAGTACTTGTTACCTACCTATACAATAATATTAATTTAATTAAGAGGATGTTTTCTGTGATGATATATTATTATAACGTGTTATCTCCGGCTTACTTATTTTGGTTCAGACTCTGTGCTCTTTGTTTTAATATTAGAGTGAATTGATCTAATATCAAACTTAAAGATAAAAATATTTTATCACTGGTTTTTTTTTTTTTGTCATTTTCATTTTTAAAAGAGTTTTAAGTGTGTGAAGTATTACAATTTAAAAACGCTTATATCTCGCTTAAATTCAAAAAAGACTATACGAACCAGATAATGTTCCCAACGTTGACATTTATTTTAAATTCTGCCATACCTAGCTATATTTTTAAAATATATCTGGATATTTATGTAGAAGTAGTTTCTTTGAAATTAAAAATATTAAAATTATAAATCTTCAGTCAAATTTGTTTCAGCTAATAATTAGATATTCTAGGTATGTATTAACAAAATCAGTGGTGTATTAATGAGAGGTGTTTTAGGTGTAGCAACACTCTTTCCCCCCCCCCCCACCCTCTTGACTGTGTTTATTTATTACGGATGAATAATAAAATGATGAAAGATAAATTATTTTATAACGTGGTTATTCATCTATATGTAACCATATGAATTGCATAATAATGTTAATATTTTATAACAATTTTGATGCCAAATATTAATTGTTGATATCAAAAACTAATATGATTTATAGTTATTTGTTAAGAGGATGTTACACCTGCATCAACTGTCTCAATCCAACTACTGGGTAACATACAAAAACAATGCTTAGTCATGAATATCATCGATGTTCTTGAATTATGAATTATTAAAAGTTACAGTTATCTAAAAGACCAAAAAATAAACGTTTTTAAATCAAGCTGAATATTTTTAATAATACTAAAACCCTATGTCATTATCTCCAAAATATTGTTCTCTATGAATTTCATAATAGGTACTTTTATTCTAAAATCAAAATTAAGCTAGTTTTACTTATTCTGTGTAAGCATTGTTTGTGTATGTTACCCGGTAGTTGGACTTAAACAGTAGATGCGGGTATAACATTTTCTTAACCACAGTTATTAATATAATTATTGACAATTACCATTTTTTCATTAAAAAAATAAAATAGATATTGTTATTTATCTGAGTGCATTTTCTTAAATCTGTTCATGAATAAATAGTGATATTTATATATTGTGATTATGGAAAATTATTTTAAATTTTTTTCTGTAAAATGTTGACATTATTTTTTATTACACTCCATTTAGAGTGAGGTCACATGAGCGTTTTATTAACGGACGTCATGACGTCCGTTGTTGTTATTTAGTTCATGTTTTTCACTTGTAGGTAGAAGGTGATTTCATTTTAATTCATTTTAAATTAAATTTTTTACACTTAATTAATAAAATTGAAGTTAATATGGAGACCGAGCAGTTAATATCTGAAGTTGAAAAATGACCAGTATTGTGGGACACGTCTGATGAATCTTATAAAGACAGAAATAAAAAAAATGAAGCTTGGTTTAACGTTACATCTGCTTTATATGAAAATTTTTCAAACAACACCAAAACTGAATAATAATAACTGAATAATTTTCAAAGCAGTATAAGCAAAAATCGCAAACTCCTCGTCATTTTGATGATAACTGACGTTGTTCCTAGCAAGTTTGAATGGAAAAGTAACGTCCGTTAATAAAACGCTCGTGTGACCTCACTCTTAGACATTTCTGGCTACGCGACAAAATTTTAACAATTTCAATGGATATTCTCTATTTTTTATATTTATTAAATTATTAATTACGTTGTAGAATTTTATGAAAAACAAATTATAATAGTTTAATATTATAGTAAATACTAAGACTAGTTAAATTATGTTTTCTTTAATTGATGCTTATAAAAATCATTAATTTTTTGTCTGTTTTTTCTTATCATTTTTATGTTTGCAGCATTCGGATTTGTGGATTTAGTAAAATGTCTCATTGCTGAAGGAGCAATTATTAATAAAGCTACAAAAACTAGATCAACTCCATTGCGAGCGGCATGTTATAAAGGATCATTAGAATGCGTTGAATGTTTGGTAGAAAGTGGAGCTAATATACATAAACTTAATAAATTTAAAAGCTCATGTCTTATGATCGCTTCTTATAAAGGTAAATTTGTTTTTAAATGCTTTAAATATTTTGGGGCTATATTATTGTTTTATATTTGTTACAGTAAATGTGTAATCGGTTAGTGTTGTTATATTTAAATATTACCTATTTTATGCTGTCAATTTTAATATTTAAGTATTAAGTATTTAAGTATTAACCTATTATCAAACTTAAAGGTATGAATATTGTTTGTGGTTTACACATTGATTTTTTTTTTTTTTTTTTTTTTTTTTTTTTTTTTTTTTTAATATTTTAGTTTTAAAGCGAGTTAGAATGATTTTAAGTTATAATATTTTAAATATTCGTAACTCGCATGAAAATTAAAAAATTGAAAAAAAAAACTAATTTATAAATACAGACAATGTTCTTATCTTAAGGCCTCATAACAAACAAATACGCCCTAATGTTAAAACTAACAGCACATAATTGGTTTTCATATACATCAAAGTATAAATATAACATTTACCGTAACATATATAAAAGGAAATCTGTAAGTATAAGCTGTACAAAGATTGTACTTTTTAAAGTATTAATTTTTCCAATTCATGTTAAAATATTTTTGATAGAAATTTTAGAATAAGTTATTTTTTTAACAACTTAAAATATTTTATTTGTATTGAAGTTTGTACCTGAATGAATATAGTATTTGATAATATTCTGATTTTTGGAATACTTATATTGTTAATCAGCACTAATAAAATACCACGCCACCACACTAATAATACTCCACTACTCTTCTCTTCCTAATCCTAAAAGTGTGGAATATCGCATTAAAGAATAGACGGAAATCAAATATGTTGATACTAAATTCAATTAATCTAACACTGTCTATTTATGGAATTTTTAGTATAGATTCTCATTTTAAAAACCAAAGTTGGTATCGCCACAGAATACTTAAATGTTGTAAAAAATCTATTCGAAAATATCAGCTTTAACTACATTTTAAAATTCTCCAAAAGTCGGAATGAGAATATCATTCATTTCAATATCATATAATACAGTACCTATTCATTACACAGATATGGATTTTTTTTATGAAAAATAATAATATTATATTATTTTGAATGTACATCTGCTATGAGGATATTTAAATTATTATTATTAACTTGTGTTTACATTTTAATAATAATGTAAACTTTTATACTAAGTTAATTTGTAAATTTTTAACTTTGCACATAAATATTTATTCAAATATTTTATTACTGTTCTTAGGTCATGAAAAAATTGTAAAATATTTGTTAAGTAAAGGTGCTGATGTTAATGGAAAAACCCGATGTGGATTGACATCAATGCATTTCGCTGCACAAGCAAATAAGATCGATGTTATTAAGTTGCTCATAGAAAAAGGAGCTGTACAATTCAAGAATAAACGATGTATAATCATTTTTTTTTTTATTTAAATAATTATTATGATGTAAAGAAATTTATTTTATTTTATTTTTTTCAAGCTTTAACTCCAATTTTGGTCGCGGCTGAAAGATCTCATTATGATATTGTACATTATCTTCTTAAGAAAATAAATTTGACACTGCAAGCCAAAATCAAAGTATATGAATTGCTTGGTGCATCATTTTTAAACGACAAAGATAATTATAATTTTGAAGAGGGATTTTCTGCTCTATTGACAGCAATGAAAATTCGGTAAGATTTTTGAATACAATTATGTTCAAATTCAATGATAGTTTGTGGTAATATCAATGTTTTATTTTTAAATAACTAATAAATTATTAAAATTCATATTTTACTGTAGATGCAGACATGAATATACCCGGAAAAAACCATATAAACAAGTTGCTGCTTATAATAACCAAATAGAGTCTGAAACTGTGCAAGCTTTAATGAATTTAAGAGACTTTCCTGATGCCTTACATTATGAATCATTGATCATAAGGTGATAAAAATTTTAATTTTTTTAAGTACCCAATGATAACAACTTTAATGCAATCCTATTTATTAAGGATGGGTCCTCAGCTTTTGAATAAAGTCCACTGTTTCTAAAATTGTAATTTGAATTACAATTAATTATGTTATTTTTAATAATAATTTCATTTTAACAACAAAGTATCGACAATAATTGACAATTATTTGAATACCGAATTTGTTTCAAAACTTTTTGATAGTTATTAATTTAATATAAATATAATACACTGCATGATTAATTTCTTTATAGACCATATTATTTTAAGAGTATTTACACATCATCCTAGTTTATCTAGACCACCAGTGATGGTAAAACTAATTAATTTGTTACCTTTTGTTCATTTTTTATTATGTATTATTATAATTTACTTTATTCAAACTTCTACATTTTAACAATGTTTTTATTTTTTATTTTATGTAACTTGAATATGATATTAACTAAATTAGTAGTTATGAATATAACTAATATGTTATATTTAAGATGTGCAATAATATTTGTACATTAAAAGAACTAATAAGAATGATAAGTGTTATTTTATCTTCTGAGAAAACTAATTTTTACATGTCTTTTTAGAGAAAGAATTTTAGGAGAAAATAATCCAGATTTATTGCCAGCAATAATATTCCGTGGTGCGTGTTATGCGGATTCAAATAATTATGCCCCATGTTTAAAACTTTGGTTTCATGCGTTACAAATATCTAAGATGAATGGCCACAGTGTTTCTGATGATCTTCTACGTTTTACTCAAGTAAAAATGATTACTAATTAAAATAATTTTACTGGTGTAATGCAATAAAAAAAATATTATTTTATATAGTTGGTTTAATGAAGTTTCTATAATTCCATCAAATGCTAAAGCAATATTTAATGTGCAAATAATATGTATATTTTTCAAGTTAATGAATATGATTTGATCATATAGTATTATATTATATTATATAATCATTTTAGCTCTGAGTAACATAATTATTTAGTTGTATAATAATTTTTCTAGAATTTGATCAACAGGAAATAATATAGTTGCTGGTATTCCACTATAACCAGGATAAACTGTTTAATCATTCGTTTTTAAAAAAACTTATCAATAAGAATTTAGAATTTTATTATTACGAGTGCATTTTTTGAACTAATTTAATTAATAGCTATCCAAATTTTGTTTTATACGCAAAGGAAATTAAAAACTAGTTGTTTTTTCATAGTTTGAAATTAGCAATATTTATTTTAAATCATGCTAGTGTTTTATTATATATTGTAGGGGTCTAGTTAATTATAAGTGCTATGTATAGGTACTTTTTTACTAAAAAAAACTTATGCACACTCATATGTGCCATAGTTTATTTAATAAAATAAAATATTTTGTTTTTGACATGGAATCAACATTTTACAGTTTTCTTATGTTATCATTTATAAAACAGAAAAATTAAAAATAGTACTCATCGGTATTCTTTAATACAGATATTACTAGGGATTGCCTACTTACTAAATAAACTTTTGAATTATTAATTTTAGTATTAATGTATATTTTTACTAAATTATATTTCATTATCATATGCTTTTCTGAAATTAATAATAACTACTGAATTTTTTATTTTGTTTTGTTATATTTGTTTACATTTAATTATAACTGCAAGAATAATATTTAGTGTTTCCACATATTAAATGTATTTATTTATTTAGTTATTTTGTCGAATGATTGAAACTGGTTTTGATATTGAAATGTCAGACTTAGGACATGTGTTGTCCGCTGCATTAGATGAATTCAAATTTAATAAAAGAAAATTTACTATACTAAAAAATAATCAACAAGTACAGGTATAATATAAATTTATAAATAGTCAATAAATAAATTTCAAAATAAATTGTATCTAATTAATTAGGACATCATTTTTGGAAATATGTTGGCAACACTGGGTTTGATTACTATAACCAGTATGACTCTTGAAAAGGAATGCAATTTGGAGCATCCTTTTAGGAAAGACATTATGTGCCTTATTGTAGAACTAAACAGAATGAATCTCAGAACAAAAAAAAATCAGACATTACTTCACTTGTGCCTAAGTCATATAAATGTGGACAATGCTTTTACTACTAAAATTTGTTGGTAATTAATATTAATTATTATTTTTTAAATATTTTTTTGTAAATTGGATAGTATTATATATTCACATAAAAAAAATTATAATGGTTAAAAAATGATTTTGTAAATTCTTTAAGTAAATTATTAAACAAATTTAGTACCTCTCCTCCTGCTCATAACTAATTTGTTTTCAGAATTGCTACACTATCTGGAAAACCTAAAAAAATTTAAATTTTCATTGAAATTCAAGGATCTAAGAAAAAAATGTATAGTACCTAGTCAAAATGGTAGATATATATATAACCCTATAATACGTGTATTGTATCAAATTTTATTAACTGAAAAAAAATATTCTAAATTAAAAATTTACATTTTAAGTTTTAAATTATTTTACACCACACACAGATTGTACGTATACTATGCAATATAAAGTAGAGCTACAAGGAGAGATTGAGTACAAATAATTAAAATTATATGTAACATAAAACAAATTTATATTTATTGCTAACACAAGTATAGATGGTTATAAATAAGTAATGAAAAAAATTAAAAAAAAAAAAAATAGATTGTTTTATATAATAAATCAACAGTTCCCAGACTCTTAAATTCTAGCTCCTTTATAAATTTTTGAAAATTGCACATAAATTATTATTATTCTATAAATTTAAAAAAAAAATTACTTTTTTGTATACTTTAATAATAAACTATATACAATATTCGTGATAGTTATTTTCTTATTGATAATAGTAATTATAAAATTGTTTGTGCCTCCCCGGCAATGTGTTCACGCCCTCTAAAGGAGTATACTCTCTCATTTGAGAAACTGATATAGGTATAAATTATGCAGTTTTTCAAGTAAAATATATGGGAAAATTGTGGAATTTTGTAATTTAACATCTGTAGCAACTCTGGTTCTCAATTATGGTCTTAGTTATATTTAATTTATTTTTATTTTGTATCTACAATTGAAATAAAATAACCAATTTTCCTTTTATCTTTGCAGTTTTCCCAATTATCTTTCAATGAAATTATTAATATTTTGTGGAGCAGATGTAAATGCTTTTGATAATAATCGAAATACACCACTTCATTACATTGGCAAATTCATATCAGATAAGTAAGTTTTGTATTTTTATTTATAAAGTTTTGTTTGATAAATATGTATTTATTTTAATAATTTTATTTAAAGTCCCAGTATATCTCATAACAGTAGAAATTCAGATATCAGAAAAATGGTAATAGCGCTATTGAATGCTGGTGCTCATACAGACATTATTAACAATTGTGGTGTCAATCCTCATATCGGTTATCTTAGAAGTAATGGTTTATATAAATTATTTTTTTTTATTTACTGTACCTACTATGTGTTCTGTTTATTCTTTTTTAGATACTTTTACATTTACAAGAGGTATTCCTAGGAGTTTGAAATGCTTAGCTGCCGGTGCAGTCAGGAAGAACATTCCAGAACAATATTACTGTGAAGATGTACCACAGAGTTTATTAACTTTTATTAATGTACATTGAATTGATTAATAGTTAGTACTTAGTAAACTGGTTAATACAAATTTAGAAGTAATTGAATAAAATTAAATTTTCATGTAGGATTATTTTATTACTATTTTATGTTTATTCTTAGTGTTTATATTTTATATTATTTAGTGTTTAAAGAAAGGAATTGTTACAGCATGACAACAAAGTAGTACAAAATCAAACAAAATTACATAACTATACAATTGTATAAACATCATACTCATATCTCTATTTTAAATTTTAAATGCATTTCAAACCAAATTTTGACTTACAAATACTTCAGTTTATATATATATATATATATATTTTAAACATCTAAACTTGTTTATATTGTTTGAATCTTCTTTTTTGAAGGTACTAATTTTATAGGATAATAATTTTATTGTGTAAATTGTGTTTAAGCTTAGTAAAACTAGGTACTTTAAAAAATATAGTATAAAGTAGTATGTCAGCATTTAAAATTATTATTTTATTTAACTGCTTTATATATATATATATATATTATGTATTCAATTATTGTTATAAAAACGCTTATAAATTTAAATAATAATTTTGTAAAAGTAATTATCTACATAATTTAAAATATAATATAATTTATAACTGAAATTATTACTAGTTTGATTTTGTTTAAGTTTAATTTACATAAACTTGTGAAACTTTGGTCTTATCACTCAGAATGATACAAATAAAAATGCTTAAACAGATAAATGAAAGAGAGGATAGAATTTAGAATGAGTTTAATAAGAATAGCTTAAGTATTGTTTCAATATTTTATAAGATAAAATATGGTAGATTTAAGTGAATCCAGGGCCAATTTGAAGGCGGTGTAAGCTATGCACTTGCCCCAGAACCCCGTGCTTTGAGAGGCCCTGCGTCTAGTCGCAATCATAGCTAGATAGTATTTACACATGATTATTTAGGAAAATACAAAAATGAATAAATTATATTGTAAAAATTTACCTACGCTATAAGAAGATAAAAAGCAAAATAAAAAACTTATTGTGGCCCTGCACAATTGGCTGTACGGGGCCTCAATATTTTCCTAGCCGGTCGTGAGTGGATCAGACATCTGTTGAGAAAAGATAGGTAAAAGGTTATAAAGAGTGGTATTACAAATAAATGTTGAAAAAGAGAACCGAGAGGAAAAACAAATAAACACACTTTGAAGCCATAAAACCACTTTGAATGCAATCTGTTTCTCTCAAAAAACAATTTACGAGGTTAAAAAATATCATATATGTCTAACTAAAAAAGCCATAGATGATACTATTTGACAGAATATTAATGTCCAGTCAAGTCAGCCTGAAGGAGTTTATTAATTAACCTCTCCTCAGAAAAATGTTACGTGCCCATAAAAAATGTTTTTACATTTTCCTGTTTATTTATATAATGGAGAAAGTATCTTTACTTTTTTATAAGACTTGATTTCAAATTTTGTTAAAATCATAAATAGAATATGGCATTTCAAAAAACGTTTTATTAATAATAGTTTATTCATTGTATGCAAACATAAATTCAATAACTTAATAACTTCTCATCTACAACAGTGACACTCATTAACAGTATCATCTCTTTTTTAAATCTCATTTTTTTGTGATTTTTGATTAAATAGTAAAAAATTTAAGTCCTATATGCCCAAATACAAATTATCCTCTTTCTGTAAAAAGAAACATATTGATATGTTATGGTCCACACTGATCGGATGATACCCATTTACGCCAAAAAAAAAGGTAATCCTTTTAGGTACAGCTCATTAGCGCCGAAATAAAAAAAGCCAAATTTACATGCGTAAACATTTTACATTAACCACTTGGTTAATTCATATATATTAATAAAAAAAATATGTATTAGTTATTAAAATTTATAACTTATAAAAAATGTGTATTATTAATTATTATTTTAAAAAAATGCATACAATTGACTATGATTCAAATAAAATTGAATAGATTATTATTATTATTTAATTGATTAGTAATTGAGAACAAAATACATAAATTTATTATAATTATAACCAGTAAACAATTTGTATATTTATTAACAATTATTGAATACCTCTTATTTCATCACCTATTTGTAATATTAAAATTTTTATAAAACCTCATTATTCGAATGTTAAAAATAAATTAACTAGATACTATGTATATTAAATCGGTTATCATGTAAAGGTTGTTTTAATAAAAATTTGTATTTATTTTAGAAATAAGTAAAATAAAAAAATAATTTACGTAGTCATACAACCGTATTATATACGTTGGTGAATTTGGCGCAAATGGCCATTGGAAAAAAATTAACTTTTTTTTTATTTTGGCGTAAATGGGCGATACCCCCCCCCCCCATTTATCGGTTATACTACGTCCGAGTAATTATATACGTAGATTAGACACTGTATACAATGGCCTATAATGTCAATATCATTTATGCGTATATAGTGCTAAATATATAGGTATTATCACATGGCTTTTCATAGAGAGAAAACTCAATTAGCGGTGATAATTATTACCAGCCAAGATTGAAATAAAACTAGAATCGCTGCCAGTGGTGGCCATTGTACCTGTGTATCCAACCACGAAATTGTATACCTATATATTATACCTATAATACCTGTATAGGTATTTAGCCATGGTATGTAATATTACCTAGTTGATAGCCTAATCGCGGTGGTGACATAAGAATGGTGACCAATATTTTGTTCGAAAATAATTTGGTGGAAATTATTTTCACAACAATTTTCCTTCTAAAATACGGTTCGACGTAAATATTTTTCGACAGCTTTATTTTTCTGATAAAATATCATTCTGACAACATATGTTCGTACTTTATACGCGTCTCCCATGAGAACATCGTAGTTGTTAAAATAATTTATTTCGTATTAAGTAGTTTTCAGTAGTTAATACCCAGTATTTTCTCTCAGAAACGGGCACAATTCGTTCAAAAACCAATATCCTAAGAAGAAATTCAATTCAACAAGTTTCCCGTGTCTACCTCATCCCTATCACAGTTAATTGTTACCGTGATCTGTCAAAAATGGTAGGTACTACTTTGTCTGCGACAACTATATTGAATATTAATAACTGTTTTTTTTCATTTGTGTCGCCAATGTAACCCATCAATCAACAAAAAACTTGTCTCAAAAATACCAATCACCCTCGAATGGTGAATAATTAATAATAATGGTACTTTAAATTGGTAATAATGGACTTTAAAGGTAAAAAATAGGCAACAATCTTCATATTGTGTTTTGAATATCAGGTTTTATCAATATCGGAATAAAACTATAGATTTGTATAGTGAATACACAGACAGCGCTGTCACCAGCGTATTGACCTGGGATATAATAGGACTGTAATTAATCCTTCAATAACAATACCTAATAAACACTTTACCTATACCAAATAATTTATCTAATTAGTTTTAAATATAAAACAATAAAACACGAATAGCGTATGAATATAAAAATAATAAATACCTACCTTTCTCACCATTTCGAATTCAATATAGCCACAGTTGTATTGTACAATAAAATAATAAAGTAAACACAAAATTATTAAAACGCTTAATACTCGTAAATAAATATATAAATAACAAATTTACATACACAAATAAAATTAATTAAATAATGAATGCGTCGTCTGAAGTATTATTATTAATGTATTAATGCATCATCGGGTACACCACAGTCAAAATGTAAAACGCGACTGAATATGAAAAATTAAATGAAGGAATACATCGAAAAAAAAAAATTATAAAAATCGGTCGTTTCACATAGAAGATAGAAATAATTTATTTTAATAGGAGAGATTATTTTATATTAGTTATTATTCGACAGATATGTTAGAAAATACAAATTATTTCGTTATTATTTAAAATGTATTGATATAAGATATTATTTTTAAAATCGGTTTGAACACTTAAAATATTATTCAAATTATTTTTCTTTATTTCGTTGTATATGCGTAATTCTTCTAATGCTGAATTAATGTAAATATATGTTATTTTGGTTATTTAATATTTCTAAGTCTGTTTTAATATCAAAACTTTTATTATGATTATTATCTAAAACATGTTTAGTAAAATTTGAATTAGGGGCAGTTTTATTTCAGAAATGTGTTCTTTATATTTAATTTTTTTTAATTTTTATTTGTCTTAACTATGTAAAATTGATTGCAGTATTTATGTTATTGATTATAATATCTATGTCTAATAAAAACTAATTTTAAATAATCTCTTCTATTCAAATAAATTATTTCTTTCTTCTATGTAAACGACCGATTTGTATAATTTTTATTCTATCTATTCCTTCATTTAATTTTTTATATTTAGTCGCGTTTTACATTTTGACCATGATATACCTGATGATGCATGAAAATAAGAATCCAATAATACTTACCTGTCATACTATAAAATATAAACAATATGAAAAACTTTGAAAATTATTATTATTTTATTTTAAAAATTTAAAAATAATATTTAGAAATATATTGCAAAAGAACTAATTTGGGTAGGTAACTTACAGTCCTGTATATATAAAAAAAAAACAAGATAGGAAAATAAGAACCCAATAATATATACCTGTCAAACTATAAACCCAGTATAAACTATAAACTATAAACAATTTTGAAAATTGTTATTATTTTATTCTAAAATTTTAAAATAATATTTGAAAATAAATTGTAAAAAACTAATTTAGGTAGGTCACTGACAAACCTGTATAAAAAGAAAAAATGCAGGATAAGAAAATAAAAACCCAATAATACCTACCTATCAAACTATAAACCCTACTATAAAACCTAACAGGACTAGATTTTATTATTTTTGATTTATTCATTCAGTGTTATTATACCTAATTTGTATCAAAACTGAAAACTTGTGATTTATATACTCCAAAGCGCTCCAAAGTATTAAAATAAATTTAGGTACCACACATACAAATTTTCAAGAATTTGAATAAATCTTATAATATAATAAAATGTTAATTGTACTATTTACAAATTAATAGGTAATTGAAAAAACTTATTTGTTTATAATATGATTCAATTTATCTTATACTTACTAATTTTTAGTATTTAATACAAGATTGAACTAAAGAATGATGACTGAAAAACTCATATAAATATTTTCAAGAATCAGAATGAAAAATTTCGTTTAATAAAAAAACAAAGTATAAATATATTATTTAAAATAAAATAAATTGTAAAATCTGAGAATATATTGAAAAATAAAACATGACTTAAAAATACATTTTAGATTAATATTTGTATGCAACAAAAAATATAATTTAACTTAAAAAGTTTAAAAATGGGTAAAAATGAAACAATATTTAAAATTAAACCCAACATAAAAAAAAATAGACAAAATAGGTAATAGTACTTAAATAGGTAATTTTGGAAATAATATGTTTAAAATCGAAAATAATAATTTGACTCATGCAATTGTGGTTACAAAAAAGGTTACCTAGTAGCTTATTTTCTGAAAGGGAATTTTATCTTCATGGTTTAGGGATGTCAATTTTTTGATTTTTCAATCGGTTTTCATAATATCTATGAAAAACCGGAATTAAATGTCGGAAAACGGAAGATATACGAAATGTAGGTATTAGTAAAGAAATATTATGTTTTTTTTTTTTTTTTTGACAACCTCTCTACCAGCAATTTTACTCCAATTTACAATGATAGTACTTTTTCTAAAAGGAAATCTGACTAAGGAGATGCTCTGGAAAGGTCATTTTTCAATTGTGAAAAACCGAGAAAAAGCAGGAAAAACGGGAAAATCGGTACAGTATTAAATAAATATTATTAAAGAAAATGTATTATGCCTACTTAATTGTTTTACCGCAATACGACATGTATATTGTAGATAAAGCTATCAACCATCATTATCAACTGAATTGCACTCAGAATTGTTTTTTCGTTATCAATTATTTATCGTTGGTAACAGATATACATTAAATTATCTATTACAGTGGCTTCACCATACCTCATTATCCTAGGACGTCTTTTTTTTTCTGAACACACGTATATTGCCAATTTAAAAACGATGGTAAAGTGAGAATTGAGCGGACTGACTAAGTTTCGAAATTATAGCTTTTTGAAGTTTTGATATTATGCGGATATTATATGTTATGTTAAATAACTAAATATTGTTTTTTTTTAGAGAGTGTTTATCCTAGCTGATTGGTTTTACATATCTATTTGTATCTAAAGAGTTCGCTGGTATGAACCTGTGTTTTTTCGAAAAAAAAAAAATGATTGCTCTTTTTTTCCTTCTACCAAAACAAATGCATTTTAGATGTACCTAGAGACCCAAGACCCCTCGGTTTGTTGTGCAAACTTTTCTACCAAAATTCATGCTCCAATGTATCAAGTGTAGCTTATTTTCTGAAAGGCAATGTTTGATTTGCGGGGAGACGTGTGAGGGGGCGGAGTACCTCTTCCTTTTTCTTTTTTTTAGCGTACCTTTTCTATTTTTTTAAAACGGAACGGATATTGTTCTAGTATGATAGGTGGCTGGAGGAAGGTGTAGGAGAGAAGCCTAATTTCTAATTTACAAGATAACGTTAGAAAAGAAAAATCTAGACTGCATCGAAAATCAGCCAAATTAATTTGATTTAGCTATTTTTATTTTTTATTATATATTGTTTTTTTTTTGCCCTCATACTAATATACTCGTAATAATTTCTGTGTATATTATTTTTTATAATATGTATACCTATAACCTATCTACAGCTAAATTAATTGATTAAACTATTTTTATTTAATATGGTGTTCATGAGAAAACCATAGGCATATTATACTATGTATACTACCTAAATACCTAATGCTAATAACTGATAAGGTATAGTTGTCTAACCTTATCTTCTGAGATATCATAACTAAGATAAGATATCTTAGTTTATAGTTAATATACTCTACAATTTTGTGACCAACTTCAGACTTATAAACAATGATGATAATGAACTTTTGAAATGTATTGATTATTTATTACTTATGAGTTATGACTGATGTGTAAATACGTTTAGTGCAATTACGATTTATGAACATTAGTTTTTCTTCAAGAACAAATTTATCTTTCCAACTTTAATAATTCAAATTAATTAATCTTATTGTGTCTGTATATTTATTTAGTTAATAATTTAGTTGCTAATAATATGTCTGAAGCAAATATGAATGACGAACTTAGTGAGTATCTGTTATATTTATATTTTATGTATCTATATAATACATATATTACATTTACATTAATGCAATTTGGTTTGTTATTAATTATTTAATTATTTTAGTACTTTTGGAAAGAGTATTCTTTCGTATTGGTTCAGCTGATACAGATACTCAGCTTTCATCTTGTATTAACAACTTTCTAGTACCAGTATTACAAAAATTGTCATCACCTCATGATTCTGTCAGAAACAAAGTATGTATTTGATAAATTATATTTAATTTATTTTACTTGTTACTGATACTGTTTAATTTTGTTATTGATGAACTTAGGTTGTTGAATTATTAACACACATCACAAGAGTGGTTAAACAAAGTCCAAGTATTGTACTTCCTGTCAATCAATTGGTTACACTTTTGGCTACATGTAGTAACAGTTTCGTTGTGGTAATTACATTTTATTAAAAAACTCATTTTTTTTTTTTTTTTTAATCTAATTATTTTAATTTTTAGAATTTCACTGTAGTGTTTATAAAAATTAGTTTTGGACGTATAGATTGCAATAAAAAAATTGAATTTATTCTTCCACTTATCAATTCTATTGCTACAAAATCAGTGGCTCATCAAGAAACGTAATATATAAATCCAATTAAGAATTTAAAATATTATGGCAGTTGGTTAGCAATAAATTGAATTTTTATTTTTATTTTCTAGTATTTTATTGCTCATATTGGGAGCTCTTAATAAATCAAATGTTCAAGTAGCGAGCAAAGATATTGCAGTCATTAAAGACCATCCACAATTAAAAAGTATAATATTACAGTTAATGTTGGATTTACTATTGATGCCTTATAAATGGAGTGGTTCAGATGAAGATTCTTTAGCTGGATTTAATACACAGTCTTTAAAACGATTGAGACTTAATATACCTATAATATTCTCAGATGCTGATTATCACGAACAAGTAATGTTTATATTTCTTGTTATCCGGATTGTTTCATATTAAAAATAAATTTTATAATTATAGGTTAAGTTAGGTATTTTAGGTTTAATATCGGCGAACATTTTTGAATCTCGTTACGTATTAGTGCATTCAGTAGTTGGAGCAGCTGATACACGTTATATGGTCGCTAATTCTGGTGAAAATGAACTGAGAAAGATTACTTGGTATGAAAATAAATAAATAATAGTTATAAATGTTTAATTGTAACTAAATATTGTAACTTTCAATGCATATTTAGTGAAATTGATTGGTCTAAATCCTCTACTATGATGCCATTGTATGCATTATTCATTGGTACTAGTCTAAATAAACAAGACAGAGCAGCTAAAAAAGAACCTGCTTGTGTACGGATACGATTAAAGATATTACCTTGTTTGTGTTTGAGCAAAGGTGAAGAATCAGTTATATGGCCACAGTGTATGCAGGTATGTAAACAGAGAAAATTAGTTGGGGTTGATTTTCTTTACTATATTTATGCTTTGTTTTTAAATATTTCGTAATCTTGTTTAGCATTATAACTTGTCTATTATTTTAAAATATCTGACTACATAATTGTTATTTCAATCAAATCATTATATAATTTTAAAATTATATTTGATAAATGTTTATTCAATCTGTTTAAGATAATTTTTGATTGTTGGAATGGAGAAAATACTAATCAAAGACTAAAAAACTTAGCATTGCAATTTGCTCAAATTATCATACAACAGTAAGTTTTATTTATAACTACAGTTGACATAGGTACTTACAAATGTTTTTTTTTAAACGTCATAAATATTTTATTAATAATATAATATATATTATATTTAATGACATTTTTATCTGTAGATTTCTATTAATGAAAGTTATTAGACCAACTATTTTACTTTTATTATAATTATTTTTATCATTTTCTTAGAAAATCGGCAAAAACTTTACTGCAAGCCACTCCGATTTTATTAAACTCTGGTTTATTAAAATTATTAAAATCACCAGAACTGGATTTAAATGCTAAACAAATGACATATACTCTTATTGGTTTACTGATATCTAAAGTACCTACTGCAGTTAAAGAAGACTTAGTTCTTTTGGATTCATTTTTTAAAGCTTTGATAAAAGTAAATAAGTTATCAATTAAAATCAGAAAATGGTATTTTTTCTAATAACTTATATTTGTTTTAGGAAACTTCTCCTGATTTAAAAGGATCTATTAGATCAAGTTTAATCTCTATGTGTAGTGCATATAGTGAATCCAGTAAACTATCAAATATATTGTCTATGATTGCACATTATTGTAAAATGTCTGATGGTCTTTTAAAACAAGTGACAACACATTATTTGTCTACTCTATTTCCCGCTGATGATGCCAAATCTAGATTATTATTGATTCAGTCGCACATGTCATCAGTCGGGTAAGTGAATATAATTGTTTTTATTATTAATATTCATTTAATATAAAACAAACATAATTTTAGTGATTCCGATTTGAAAAAAATATTATATAATGTGGATGAAGCAGGCAATCTTGTTGGTAAAAATGAAAATGCATTGCTATTACCTCGGTTCCCAGACATGGTGATGACAGTTGTTGATAGTAATGAACAGTATGATTCTTCAGTTCTCCTGGAGGTTGGTGTAAAGTTATTGACTTATCATATGTAATCTATTGTAGATTTTACATATTCTGTTTTAATTTGTATTTAGATAGCAGAATACTTAAGTCATTGTTTGACCTTTAGTGCTGGTCTTCCAGTAACCTACAATACTTTATATCATCCAACAAAATATACGCCAGAAATGTGCAAATATTTGTCAAAAGTCTATCAGTCTGATGCCAAAATTGTTGATCATTATTTTAAACTCATGATGCAATTGATACAAGTTAAACCAAGTATAATACCACTGAATAATCTATTATTATGTGTTGCAGCTTTACCAAATGAATTAAAAAGCCAATTCACCAAAGATTTAAATACGATTCAGGTAAATTGTAATTAACTTCTGTTAAATCTAATAATTAAATTTAACTAACAACATAATTATAGAAATTGTTTGTATCGAGTAATGAAGATATGCGTCAATTAAGTGGAATACTGTATGGCATAATTTTGTCAGCTTTGGACGAAATAATTTCTGATAAACGCATTAGAGAAATAACGTCATACATAGTAGATAAAAACCGAAATAAATCATTGGAATTGCATGCTTCACTTTATGCTTTATCATCACTTCAAGAATATAAATTTTATGGTGATAAAAATTTTCCTCCATTTATTGGAGAAGACACATTTACTTCACTTGGTAAATTAATATACATATATTATAAAATAATTTAACTTTTTATATATTTTACTTAATATTATAATCTCATCATGTTATTTTATTTTTATTTAATGGATACACAGGTGAATTCCTTGTTTACAGAGTACAATTTATAAGATAATATTAAGAATATAATTTCTTTTTTTTAGTTACATTGCTTGATGAAACAAGCCCTTTAATAGTCGGCGCTACTTGTGATGTGATTGGTTCAATAGGAAGACTTAATCCAGTACCCATTGACGACTCTAATAAATCATCCCTTATAAAAAAACTGTTAAGCATTTCATTTAATAGCTCAATACCTTCTAAGGTAAAGATAACCCAAGATTAGGCTTTTAACTATTTAATTTTCAATTTGTTATATTTTTATATTTTTAGATTAGAAACAAAGCAATTAAATGCACAGGATTGATTTGTGTTGGTGAATCTTCACCGAGAAGCAAAGATATCATAAAAGAATATTTAAAAAACACAAAACACGTAAATATTAATTTTTTTTTTATTTTGATTTATTATTATTGTGTTATAATTTATTGTAGGCTAGCTTATTGATATTAGTATAGCCATAGTATACTATATTTAGTATAGCGATTTTATCACTTTTTCTGATAAAAATTTATAGAAAGACAGTGCATTGAGTTAAGGATAGGCCAACATTAAGTTTTAAAGTTTAATGATTGTATGCTTGAGCATGTGGTCTGTTTTTAGAGGTATATAGGGTTAGATGAGTTAAAAGGCTTGACTACTCATACAGTATTGAATAAATATCTATCAAGTTGTATGTTGGATATTTTTACTTCATTAGGGGCAGAAAACCATATCTAGAATAAGCAAAGCACCCTTTATTTATATATACTAGGTGGTGATAAAAGTATCAGAGTTATCTATATTTAAATATTTTAAAATGATTTAAATAAATATAAAATCTGAAAACATTATAAAAAAACTAACAATTTTTAATGGATCTAAAAAAGTGAAACAACTGAGTGGTAAACTAAAAATGTTTTCAATTTATTTCATTTATAGACAAAAGACATAGAAATACATTTATCAATTGGTGAAAGTTTATGTTGCGCTATACTCGGGCCTCACTCAAAAATGTCATGTAACTTTTGGACATGTGCTGAAGATGAGTATCAAAAAGAAATTGTAACCAAATTTGCTGTTGATGAATGTGATAAGTTGGCTGATTATTTTTTAAATAATATATTAGATAAAATTCAGAGTGAAGATCATCCAAATTCAAAACAGGTAAATACAAATAATTATTAACTCTCACTAATTCAATACATAATTTGGCAACAATAATGACAATATTTATTAAAATATTGTATATTTTAATAAATAATTTAAATTTTTAATAAATGTATTATATTTATTTTTAGGCATGTTGTGTGTGGATGTATAATGTATTGAATGAATGTTATTCATTAAATTCAGTTAACCAAAAACTTGCTCGTATTCAAACAGCTTATGTTGAACTTTTAACAGAAAAAAATAGTAAGTATTTCTATGGCTATATAATAGAAACTTTATAATAGATCTTTTGTAAATGAATAAAATGTTTATACTAACAATTTCACATATATTAGAAATTATTTTATTTCTTTATACATTTTATATGTTGTTAAAATATCATTAAAATTGTATAAATAATTTATTTGTATGAATTAAAAACCTATTATTGTTATTTTTTAAGACTACATACAAGATCTTGCATCTAAAGCATTAATAAATGTTTATGAATTTGAAGCTGATAATCGGAAAGAACAAATTTTAAAACTGCTTATAAAACAGTTATCTGAATATATGGCAGTTGGAAATAATGGTAAAGATAGTTCTGGGTAAGTTGATTCTTCAAAAATGTATATTTACTCATATGTACTTTTACCTGTTTTTAATTTTATAAATATAAATATAAAATTTTATTTGCAGAGGTATTTTGTCAACATATAAGGAGTTGTGTTCATTAGTAATTGATTTGAATAGGCCTGAATTACTGTATAAATTTATACAATTAGCAAACTTCGACAAGAAAAAAGTCATTACATATTATTTTTACAATTAAAGTTATTAGTTCTATTGCAATTTGTTTAAAATATTAATTTCTATATTTTTAAAGGATGCTAAATCCAAGTTAGAAATTGACGAACAACTTAATGAACAGTTACCATTTATTATACCAAGGCTTTATCGATATCAATATGATCCAACTCCTATTGTACAAAGCTCAATGAGTGCTATTTGGAGTTACCTTGTATTGGATACACGTTTCACTGTATGTTTTTTATTTGAGTTTTATTCTAAATTATTAATTAAAATAAATTTTTATTAATACAAATTTATTTTTTTTTTAATTATAATTATTTTAGGTGGATAAGTACCACAAAGAAATTTATGTGGATTTAGTGAAAAACATAACTTGCCCTGATTGGAGGGTAAGAATTTCTGTTTGTCAAGCTATTCCTTCATTTTTGCAATACACTGGAGACAAAATATTTACCGTAAATATAATTTATTCTTTTATTATTTTAATAATTTATATAGTCTGTATTAATAGAACTTGAGTTCTAAAAAACCACAATTTACAGAAATGTTTAGACTTGACAATTGAAGCTTGGACACAACTCATAAGAGTTATGGATGATATTCACGAGGGCACTAGAAAAGCTGCTACATCTACAACAAAAACATTATCAAAAGTAAATTAATATTATTTTTTGTTAAATATTTGTTTCATTGTCTAAATATAATTTGTATTCTTAGTTATGTGTAAATGAATGTACTACCAATACTCAATTGTTACATCTGCTTTTACCAATAATTTTAGACAAAGGTCTTTATCACACTGAATCAAGTATACGTGCAGTAAGGTGAATACAATTTAAAAGAATCTCCATAAACATATTTTAATTTTTACATCATTGTGATTTTATATTTGTTTTAGTATGGATATGATATCACAGTTAATTGTTAATTGTGGCGAAAAACTAAAAGGAGATTTAGCAAAATTAATTATAGCACTTCTAAAAGGGGCTGATAAAGTGGAAACTCCTACTTTAAGTATGTTGAGTGTTATGTCTGGAGCTAATCCAAATACTCAAGAATTTATAGACTCTCAGCGTGCAGCTTCCGCAAGATCATTGAGCTCTAGTGATGTTTTATCTAAGGTAAATAATAAGCTTTATAATTATTAAATGTATTCGAAAATAATATTGACTGTTTTTATTTGAATAGACTTAGTTGAATTATAATAAATTTACTTTGAATTATAGAGTTTACTTTATATTGATGACACAGTATTACAAGATTTGATACCTCTTTTACAAGATGTTTTGATCACAAATATTGGATTGCCTACAAAAGTAGCGACATCACATTTCATTAGTTTGTTGATTACTCAAAAACAACAACAGCTTAACTCAAAATTTTTGGGTAAAAAAACTATGATTTAGTATATAATCATGTTATTGGATACTTATATATGTATTTTTTTTTTAGATAAAATTTTAAAATCATTAATGAAGGGCATTACTGATCGTAACACTACTATAAGAAAAAGCTATGCTTCTACTATAGCATTAATCACTACAGTTGCAAAAGAAAGTACTGTGAACAAGTTAATTCAGTCATTGAAAGATATTTATATGGAAAATGAAGGCAATTGTTTATTATATTTATTTATCTAAAAACAATTATTTAATTTAAAAATTTATAGATGAAAGTATTAGGCAAACTGTTGGATATGCGTTAAAAGGAATAAGTCAATGTGAGAAACCGGATGTATACTTGCCAACTATTATACCATTAATATTTTTTGCTATACACTATAAAGGAACAGAAAGTAATTTGTATAATTAGTTAAATTACTATTATTTAATAAATTTAATATGTCTTTAACTAGGCGATGAAAAAGTTGTAAATGATAAAAGTCTTAATATATGGCAAGAACTTTGGGAAGACAATGTTCACAATACTGAAGGTGTACTATCTCGTCATCTTGAATCTGTCTATGAATTTTTGGGTGTTGCTATTAAGTCTTCATCATGGGCAATGAAAGCACAAGTTAGTATATCAAAAAAAATTATAATAATTTCACTCAATTAACACTACATATTTTAGGCAGCAAGGTCAATTGGTGATGCTGCAAATACACTTGGGCGACAATTAAATGAAGATCATCGTAATAAGTTTATTGAGACAATTAAAACTGGTTTAGCTGGTCGCACTTGGGATGGAAAGGAATTCTTACTGGAAGCTTTGTTACAATTAAATTTGAATTCTGGGTAAAATTGAGTTTAGGATGACACTGTTGTCATAATTAATTTTATTTGTTTGTATAGAGATTTAACTTTTTAATTTTTAGTGATTCAACAGAAACTTGTAAAAATGAAGAAATTGTAGAATTAGTTTTCAATGAATGTAAAAAAGAAAAAGTTAGCTATAGGATGGTTGCAACAAAAACCCTCGGCGAACTATTGGAAAAATTGAAAATTGATCGGTTTGCACAAACTTACCAATTAGTTATGCATGTTATACAAAAGGTATGATTTTTATCATTATTCAGTAATTACTATTTATCATAAAACAAATAATTGTGTCATGACACAAAAAAAAAAAAAAAATACGCACATACTTCGCATGATGAGTGGGCTACTGTTGCAGATGAAAAGTTGAGAAGATAGAATATAGAAGGGAATTCAATATATATTTACACGCAACAATTAATCTTTGCTAACAAAAAGCGATTCTGAGCGGAAATTTGAACACTAATGATTGAAATAAAAATAATCATTATTGTAAAACCCATACATTCCTCGCTCCTCTCAGAATCTAAAATAATAATAATTGAATATATTAAAAAATTGTTTTTTATTCTGTATTGAAAAAATATTTATTTTTATTTATAGACTACGGAAGATTCAGATATTGATGATCAATCACAAAATTTAAAATTAAACGAATCTTTATTCCTATTAGTTGGAAAGGCATGGCCATATACCTTGGCAACTCAAGGTGAAATATCAAATCAGTTTTGATAATTTTTAATATAAATTAATATAAGGATATTTATTTGTATATAGTTGAATTTGGAGAAACAGTTGTTGCGCAATGTGCTGATCATTTAAAAAATAACACTAGACTATTGCAGTTAGCTATTATGAATTCACTTTTGAAAGTAATACAACGATTAGCCTTTATCCAACTACACGCTAGTCACAAACAACAACTAAAATACATTCTTAGTCATGTAAAAAGAGCTTTACACTTTTCTCTTGGTATGTATAAATACTATCAGACTATTTTAAATGACTAAATTAAGAAGTGAAAGTTGATGTCAGAATAATTATTTATAATTAAATATTTTGAATCTTGAATTTTCAGGTGTACCTAAAAATATAAACTTGAGAAAATTATCACTTGAAGTTTACATTTTGGTGCTTACAAATTTAAAAAGTAAGATTATTATTTTATAAAAATTATAAATGTTACGAGTCAATTTGGAATATCCTTATTAGATCTTAATTAAATTATTTTTGTGTCTTTAGTCTCTTATATAAGTATAAAATAAAATTGCTAACATGTTTTACTTTTTAAAAATATTCAAATATTTTAGATTTCGGGTGAAGCGAGAAATTTACAGGTTTTCTATTTACGTTTTTTTTTTCTGCGTGAACAATTTTTCTACTAGAAATCTTGTTCTGATTAATTTTAGGGGTAATTTCTGGTATCAAATTTTATCTAGTCTGTTCCTTCAAGTTGATTTTTTTATTTCCCTTGTGGTTTTTTTTAATAATTGGGAAAAAAATCAAGAAAATATACTCAATAATAGTTATTTTGATGCAATTTGGTTGTAAATAACAAAACACCTATTTTGGCACCTTCTATACTGATTTCGTTAATTTAATCTGTTTATTTTAAAATCTTTTAATGCCACATCAAATGTTCATGTATTAGTATGCATTTGGTTTATATGGATTATAAATTGTTTTAGACCAGGAAAATCGCAATAGATCCTTTAAAGGTTTTACAAGTCACACCATTTACAATCTTATAGTTTTAATGAACCTACAATTTGTATGCTTCAGTTTTGCAATTGCCTGGACTTTGATTTTAATTTTGATAAAGAATCTGAACTTCAGAATTTACATTTAAGTCATATTGATTAAGATGAGAAAGAAAAAAATTATAATATATAGGTTCACATTAAGATTTTATCACCATGTAATACCACCATGTAATAGTGTATACCAGCGGTTCCCAACTCATGGGCTGTGATCCACTTATGGGCCTTGAGAAATTTAATACTAGGCCACGGACGCTGGTTGAAGGTATAAGCCTAGGATTGGCAAATTTGATATTATTTATATTATTATAATATAAATGTCTATATTTTGATCGAGATTTAGTAATAATCAGACAATTATTATTATTGTACAATTTTATTGATTGCCGTTTTCTTATCTAGTATTTTCGAATATTTTTGTCATTTTTATAATATTTTGTTATACTTGATGTGGAGTGTGGGCACGGTGCGATAAATTTAATCCTGATATTGACTCTTTTGTGGGAGAAAAACAATGTCAAAAATCGCAATGATTTTAATTTGAATTTAATTACTTGCTTATAAGTTGAAAACAATAATAAATTTCTTTTTTTTTTAAAAAAAATTATTTTTAAAATTTTCTTGTAAGTATGATATATTTTCCTAATTACTAATGTATGTGCAGTATGCACATTATACGTATATATATAATATATATTGATCATACATACATATATAGGTGATTTTATGTTTACTTGCATATTAGTTTGGTGAGCCTCAAAGTTTTGTTTTAGAAAATTGGTAGTACACACAATTAAAAAGGTTGGGAACCACTGGTGTATGTGATAAACTTCGTTTTTTTTATATCACTCAGAGGGATGAAGACTACAAATATTTATTTTTCTGTGTATTGTTATCCTGTAATCTAGGGAATAACATAATCACATTAGTATAACATCAGTTTTCAAACAGATTAGAAGAATTTAAAACGGCTGTTACTTAGAAACTATTCACTGGATATAAATGTGTGATGCATTAAAATTTTCAGAAAAATAAACTCTGCAGAATGGCTATCTTAAAACTAACTGAAAATAATAAAATAAAAAGTTAATTTTTTTAAATTTTTTTACAAAAAAACAAAATTTAATTCAAAATAAATATTTGCAGTCCTCATCCCTGTGAGTGATTTATAAATAAATCAGAATTTGATTATGTTTATTATCCCCAAAGACATTCAAGGGGTATATCTTCATGGGATAGCTTGTATATATAATATATATTTATTTTTATTATTTTTCTTATATTACAATTAGTCTTAGTCAAATGCTAATTTTATTAACTTGTATACTCCATTGCAGTGTTTCCTGATTTTTATGAAACCATAGACCCCTAGCTAAAACTTAATTGGTCTGAGGACCCCCATTTTTGTAAATATTTTTCAATTTCGTTTAATTATGAAAATGAAAAAAAATATATTTATTTTAATTATGTAAACAGATTTTCTCAATAATTTATAATTTTTCAAAATGCAACCGATTTATAGTTTTTTGTATTTTAACTTTAGCTTGTCTTTTTTGTTGTGTTGTGCCTCATACATAAACGCGCCTAATGATGGGTTAATAAGTAGAATAATTCTTTTGATAAATAAATACATGAATAATTTACTTGAACTTTATATCATTAACAGTATTTCTACTTCTTCTATGTCATTTATTATAGTCCTTTTAAGTGAACCAAATTTTAACTACTGACATGGTTATTTTTTGATGATTAACTTTTGAAATATAATTTATAAAAAAAGATAAACTGCATTAAACAATAAATATGTGTTAGAGAATATTTAGGTATCGGATAGTGTTCTCACTATTAGAGAGCACATGTTGTCTAATCACGGGTTACCCAGGTTACAAGACATTTTTTAATTTTAGAATGTGTCCAATTTTACTAAGTCGTATTATACGAGTGATCAATCAATACACAACCGCAGACCTCCAATTGAAAACCCTGGCTCTATTGCCCTCTAGGATGTTAATAAATATTATTATTATTATTTTTTTTAAAAATGCTTTCAAATTTTGATGAAAAATTGTAAAAGTAGCTGAATTTCAAATCACGTTTAACCAAATATTGCTCAGAATTTCTTTGTAATGATATATTTTTGTGTAATATATAAATCATATAAATTTAATTACCCTATATATCTTTCTTTTCCAACTTCTCCCTTACATCAGTGGTATACCCATTGTTTAGATATAATTTACAAACTTCACTTTCATTTATTAAGATAACCGTAATTGAAATCAGTGACTTATATCAAATCTATACCTTTTCTCTTTTTAATAGTATCAAATTAATTCATAATATACAAGTTGATAACTATGCTTGATGACTTTCAATTATATGTATCTATTAAATGTTATATTTATAATAATTTAAACTAGGCTGAGTAGTTGGGAATAATCTAGTTTTTGATAAATTCTCCTATTTGAAATGCCCTATTTCAAGTCTATTGTAACAAATTTGAATTGTTGATGCTTTTAGTGTATGCACATTGTACTGTATTGATAACCTATTTATTATTTAGAAAGTGTTTCAAGCTGTGGTGCATAATTATTTGTCTTATTTAATTGATCATTATTATTTTTTAGGTCTAAAAGCTGTTGAAGAGTTGGAATCATTCGTGAGTTTATATAATGAGTTTTCCATTAACTTAATCGACGATGAATCACCGGAAGTTAAACTTCTAGTACAAAAGATTAAAGAATTAATGGGGTAGTGGTAATCTATTTACGAAAAAAAAAAAAAATGTTAAAATCAACATTGTTTTATCTCAATTGACCTTTGAAATTGTATATATTTTTTTTTATATATAATAATATAATGTATACATATAAGTTTAATTTATACATAATAAAACTATTTTAATCCTACTATATATTATTTTTCTTTATGGTAAAACAGGTATTTATCAGTGTGATACATTGAACTCAAACTTAAAATAGTATAAAAAAATTATATAGATAACCTATTACGAAAATCGTATGCACAGTGTAACGACTATCGAATCACTCAGTTTAAAGAAAACGATGGATCGGTTCAGTGAGTTGGTACGGGTTTTGTTTTTTTTAATTGTCTACGGGGTAAGTTACTCCACTCAAGTTCTTTACCCTTATGGACCGACGGCTGGAGATGTTCAATTACGAACGGCGTATTCGATTGCCAGTGAAGGTATTCCATTAAGAGTCCCCGTGAAATTTTATAATGATACTTATGACACAATATTTGTAAGTTTAAAAATTATTTATTTTATTTTAAAAGTTAATTCAATATAATATACATGCAGTATACAGATTATTAATATTGCATTTAATTTTATAATATTATTAGATCGAGGCACATTTTAATTTTAATTTTCATGTATGACAACAAAAATGTGTGGACCTATTATTTGATTGAAAATCTAACACAAATTATTATTTATAGTTTCTGAGCTTTAAATTTATCTGCGATGTACTTATGTCTAGATTACAGCTAACAATACTAAAATGTTTAATAAATATAAAAAAATAATTGTATCTGCCTATCTAAGTAAGTACCTACTCATAATTTTGGTTTATAAACTTGAGCATTACTATCACATTTTATATACCTACTCAATTGAATTTTAGTGAGCAATGGAGCGATAACTAAATTGAAATACACAAATAATATCGGGAATTTATTTTGTTTTATACGGTTGTGCAGAAATAAAAAATTGGTATTACCAAATTAAAAAAAATGTTCATTCTTTTTGTTGATTCTTTTACTATTAATCACGTTTTACAAAATTAATTGAATATTGTTGTTCATTGATGTATAAAAGGTTTTTTTTTTATTGAATAGGTCAAATAGTTAGACACAAGAGATAACATTTCCGGGAACTTCAAATCGATAATTATCTTGGTTAATAATCAAAATATAAACGCATTATACTTACTTGTATTTTTCAGTTATAAGCTAAATATATAGTACGTTATATAGTTGTGGTTAAATTAATATGGGCGCAACAAAAAATGTATGCCTTCCTGTTAACTTTGATTCAGTGGCATAGCTCAGATTTCACAATGGGGAGAGGGGCCTATATCGAAAGAAAACGTCGGAACATTGCAGGTGCTTTGTAAATCGTCGTTCCTCATACAAAATATTATACCTACTGTTCGTGGATAGGCCACTGTTGTAAATAGGAAATTGGAAAGATAATATATAGAATTATGAGCCATAGGGTAAATTTAATTTTTCCATTTTTTTTACGTAATGATAATTAAATTATTGCCAACGGCAAACGATTCCTAGCGAAAACAATTGTACGTATTTTTTAAAGCCAAAAGACTATTTTAGATTTCGATCGTAACGAGAGGGAGTTATTGGTTTTACAATGCTGTTTATTTTTTTTAGATTCCGAACGTAGAGCCGGAGTTATTGGTTTTACCTTAGATTTTTATTTCATTTTTTTCTTCTTTCTTTCTTCTAGTCTGTGAACACGTTTTTTCTCAGTAGACTTGCTTCGATACTTACGTATATCAACTTTTCTAAAAGCTCGAGTTGTCTAAATTGTATTTAAGAGAGATCATTTTTTGATTTTCGACATTTTCGGTCATTTCTTAAATAAAAGCACTAAAGTTGGAAAAATCGTAGGAAAATTTACAATTTCATGATTTCATTAGTTTATAAAAACACGGATGACGTTTTCTACCAGAAAAAATGATTTAATCGAAAAATCACGAGATACCTTTTTGATTTATTTTCTTACGGTATACTCGCCAAAATTTTTGTTTGCTGTAATTCGGTTATAAATACACGTAAAAACTTGAAACTTGGTAATAACACCTATTTGTATTAGACTTACCTAGACGTGATAAAATTTCCAAAATAATCAGACGACTCTTTTTTTTTTTTTAATAAGCGTTTCGAAATCAAATTTAATCGTAAATAGTAAAAAAAAATTAAGGCACTTCAAATTATATATTACCGAACAGCGCTCAGAATCGTCTTTCGACAAGCAATGGTTTATCGTTGTTTACAGATGTAAATGAAATAACCTTATGTTGTATCCTACCTTCCCAACTTCTTACCTGCAATAGTGGCTATTCCCATCCCCAGTATCAGCAATAAATTGGCCTCCTCAATGCACCGACTTGACAAAATGTTCAACAAAATTAAATTTTTCGATTTAAACGTAATTTCTGATAGAACAAATTGTTAACAGACAAAAAAAACACGCTCGAAGTCTTAAAACACACAGGTAGGCCATAATTTTCCAGATTAATAAAAACTCGGAATTTAAAATAGAATCCTCAACGTAATATTCCGGATTATAAATTTACGGAACCCAAAAATTCGGAATATAAAAAGTCCGCAATGTAATATCCCAGAAAGTAATTTTTCGGACCGCATTAATCCAAAACATAAAATTACGGAATGCAAAATAATTCCGGAATTAAGTTAAAAACCAGTGGTTTCCAAATCTTTTGAAAACGTTTCTTATCACCCGGGAAGAAGTAATAGCTTATATATACCCTTCACACTCATGCAAATATTTTAGAAATTATTGATATTTTCCCGGATTATTGCGGTCCTGGATTTTGTGTTTTAGAATATTACATTCCGGATTATTTGCGTTCCAGATTTGTATAGCCCTCAAAAATACATCACAAAAACTATAATAGTTACATAAACATGAATTGATTACTTAGGACAAAAATATTATACTAATATTAATACTATATAGCCAATGAGCCTAGTTGCCCCAATGCACTGCTTTGATTTAGTTTGACAAACTGATTTTTACGTTTTTTAGATTTATTTCAGTTGGTGCCAATATTCGCATGCAAAAATGTACACACTTGAATTTAAAAAAAGCCAATTATTATAATTTTCAAACTGCCCTACTCTTCAGAGTGTAAATTTACATGGGTAAAGACGGTTTAACTATACAGATGTATATTTACCTATGGGTCTTTGATGTGATCATAATTTTAGCACTCCCGGAGTTGGTGGTTTAGTTGGCCCTATGGGTATAAAAATTGCGTAAAATATCCAATCCAGTAGCGGTTCTTCTAAAAGACGAGTCCGTCATGTGCAAAAGAAAAAACAAGAGCTCTTAATCTTTTAATCCGAAAATTATGAAATCTTATACAAATAGGTATTATTAATTTTTAATTAAAATTCCAATTACATACAAAATACATGTCAATTGAATACAATTCGATATTTTGATACAACAATGGTATCATGTTGAGTGAAGTGCCATAAAGCAGTAAATAATTTTTAAATTTTTTGTACCTGTTAGTGGTATATTTATAGTGGTGGCCGATGGGCCCTCTGAATTTTTTTCCGGAATGAGGTATGACAGAGTAAAACTCATAAAACCATCACGTATAATAGGCATATAATTCTTTCCTCTGCACAAATGTAAATTAAAATAATATTTGATACAATTAAATATTTATTATGGTTTTATTTTCAATCTGACGTTAAGTAGGTAAGTATATAAAATTATTAATGGTTTTAAAATGTTATTAGTTTTATTTTTAGATCAGTTTTTCGGCGAATCATATTAAGTAATAACAATCCCCTACCACTCAACACTTAGTTCCCACAAACATTCCGACAAATGACGCCACTACACCAGTGAGCAGTGATCTATTTACATTTTCTACTAATTTTGTGTATTGTGTACTCCATTCTACACTGAGTCTGAATGCAATAATTGATTATCAATATTATTGGGGACTATTTTTGTACATATAGCTTAGCCTTATATATATTTAATATTTACTCCAGTTCAAATCGATACATTTAATTTAAATTATTTTCCCCATACGAGGCCATATGATTGTTTTGCTAAAATAAAGAAATTTATTTTTCCCCCCCTTAATTTTTTAAAACCACTGTTCATTCTAGCCCTCCCCCTCTCCCTAAAATGTCTATATATAAGCCACTATAGTAGTACAAAATATTGTGTTTAGGTATTTAATTAATACATATTTTTAACCGATGGATAACAACAGCCCCTCCTCCCACTAGTCAAGGGCTCGATAATAACGATACTAACTGCCCCGATCGTTATTACTTACACGTACAGATATAATATATAAATATAATCCGTGATTGAATTTTCGATTCGTAGGCCAATCGGGTACTTAACGTGAAATGCGGTCGAAAAATGTAAGGACAAAAGTTGTTAGTGCCTATCTATAGACCTTTGTAATAGTGTTTACTATTTTTGACATTAATATTTTTTATTAGACCCTCCCCCCCCAATAACGTTTAACAATAAAACAAGCTTGTTAAAATTAATTGTAAAAAAGACAAATGTCGAAAGTCTGTGAAAAATTCATCCACGAACAAAAATCATACGAAACGTTTTTCGAAAATTTGTTATTTTTTCTCAGAACCAAAAATTTAAATGCGAGAAAAACTTCATCCAGGCTATAAACTGTACCATGTCGAGTCGCAATGCTTTACGCAAAATTCCGCGATTCAAAAATTTATAATGCCCATGAAAAGCTCAAAAGTTGCTAAAATGTTTTGAAAATTGTACCGCGTCGATAAAATGCTTATAAAAATATTTTGTGAACATTTCAGATCCCTACAGTTATTTTCAATTTCTGAATACGCCAAAAATAGTAAATCGAAAATAACGAAACCGTATATTTTTCAGTTTTCCCCCTCATTATTCCTAATTATGAGGAAAACTTCAATAAGCAAACATGAAAATTAAAATATGACTTCCCGCACACTGACTATATACGAAGTACAACAAGGTCTCTTCGTATTTCGATTGGAGTAAAATTCCCGGTGGAAAAGTTGTTAACAAACATAATATAGTTAACGAACAAATTTTAAACAATCGTATACGAGTATAGGTACATCATGTAGTGAAACTAACACAATATTTGTAGTTTCGGTCAGAATTTAAAACGGTAATTTTCGCAATTGAGCGGACAGTGGCGTACGCAGAATTTTTCAATGGGAGGGGAGTTTGAAAATTGATAATGAATCAGTTGTTTTGTCACAAGTTTGAAAAATAAAGTAGTTGTATTCTAGTTCTAACTGATAATAAACATAAAATAAACACAAAAATTTAAAAAAAAAAAAAAACTAATATTTAGGTAACTATAAAAATGTAAAATAAAATTTTTAAGCTAGCAGAGTATTAAAAAAGCCAGAGACCAATTAAAATTAGAATTTTTTGAATTGTGGGTTGCATAACTTAACTTTTTTTTGTTGCCACAATGAATAATTAATAAGTTTTTTTAGTGTGAAAAACTATGAGATACGTTTTATACGAAAACAAGGACGAAAAATCTAAGTATACAAAATATTATTAGATTGACACTGAAAAGAAATAAGTGAAAACCAAATTATCTACATAATTGTCTACATAATTTATAAGTTTAAACTGTTACAATTCAAATCTGTGTTCGAAATTCCTATTTTTAAATCAGAAGTATGCCCTCAATTAAGGTATATGGAGTAGGGGTGAAAAATTAAAAATGGCTTTAAAATAAAGCTTAAACGATTCTATAATGATTAGAAAAAACAGAAATCAAATTCATTTAAAATCATCTGAGATAATTGCTGGTTCATGATAAAAAAAAAAATCACTCTGTATATATATTTATGTATATAAAAACGGTCAATGGGGGAGAACTTCAGCCCCTTAGCTCCCCTCCCCCCTTGCGTACGCCACTGTAAGTGGGTCAATCGGCGGTTTACTGGACTCGACATCTTCCCCGTCCCATACAGAAACAAAGAAATAACTAATTATTAAACACGACATGCGTGCCGCGGTGTTTTTGCAGGTCAACGGCAACGGGCTGCTGTCGTTCAACAACGAGATGCCCGCGTTTACGAACTCGCCGTTCCCGCTGGACTACCCGGCGATGGCCGCGTTCTACGCCAACATCGACCCGCGGGGCAGCGGGCAGGTATTCTACCGGGAAACGGGAGACCCGAGGACACTGTCGCAGGCCACCGGATTGGTAGGCCGGTTCTTTCCGCGGCTTCGAGGCCGGTACACCGCGACCTCCGTGTTCGTGGCCACGTGGTACGAGGTGGGCTACTATAAGAAGAACGCGGACCGGACCAACACGTTCCAGGTGGCCATCATCTCGGACGGCCGGGAGTCGTTCGTCCAGTTCATATACCCGTCACCCATCCAGTGGGTACAGTCGAACAGCGAACTGACGAACACGGGGCTGGAAACCAAGGCCCAGGCCGGTTTCAGCGCAGCCGACGGGCGTATATACATGTTACGCGGTTCAGGCAGCGATCAGATACGCAACCTCGACAGGTATACCCGAAACCAAAATGGTGGTATTAATCCACTCGGAAATATTCAAATCCGTTATAAAATAAATGTTTACTAGAATAGTATTTTTGAAAATTCGCATTATTTTACGGCAATGTTACAGCAATATGTGTTTTCGGAGGTCTTACGACGATGGCACTCTGGCTTTGATAAACTTATAAATAACATTTTTTCTTTTTTTTTTTTTTGGTGGGGGATGGGGAGGATATTAATTGACCCATTTGTTATGGTTACATTGTCCGTAATTATGAATAGGAAGTTATGAATACAAAATTATTTATAAAACCACATCTAAATCAATCAGTTCGTCATCTTAAACTGTTCTATGTCTATGTCTATGGATAAAGCTAACCCAACCAAGCGTTCTTTAACTATATTCGAGCTCAATCAAGATTTTACTCTTAAATTTAAAAATACAAAACAATACAAATTTATATAAATATCCGTGCATGATGCAAAAGCTGCATGTATCTAAATCTACAAAATGTATAATAATAATACATTTCGATGTTCAAACCACAGCTGGTAACATTAATGTTTTAAAACATAGATACAATATTAAGTAACGATAACATCCGCATGTAACTATCCTTTGATGTAACCACATTATAATATAGTGGCCACATATGACCATGATTCCTCATCCCAATTTGATCAAAATTTAACATTTATATTACTTTGATAAGTTACATCAAAAATCTATAGCTGATTGCCCGATTAAAATTAGTGAAAAATTTAAAAATATTTATAAGCTCGAAAGTAAATATGAATCATGTCATTAAAACAATTCTCGGGACCGGGCAAATTACCCTCAACTACGTCACTGTCTACGCTCCCCTAAATTCAATTAGTACCTACTTTCACAGCGTCCAGTTTTATTAGTTATATTATATTAAAACCAAAATCGTCATTTGCTTACGTGCAACTCTGTCGTTCTTAATAATCATATTATAGCGTTTTTTTCGAAATTACCCGATTCGACGTCCTCTTTCAACCTTTGTGGGGGGGGGTTTAAAGTTGAACAGTGTGTCGAACCATTTATATGAACGATATTTGTGTTGTTCAAAATTAAATCGGGGAACTGAATTTTCGAAAAATCCTTCTTTTTTTTTTTTTTTTTGGCGGTTGCCCACGTTATATAAGGAACCTCTTTAATCTCCGCGGACGTTCAATGATCCCGTCGTGCGGTTAAAATATGAATAGTGTGTATATACATTATACACTTTCCCCTCAAACATTGGTTTACTGTCGAATAATTAAATAACCTAAATTGATTGACAGAAATTCAATGGAATATGGACTTTATATGGATGATATTCCCACCGCCGTGCGAAACCAATTATTATTTTACATACACGTGTATCGGTATTCAGATATTGTTAATTTATTGTATAATAGGCACGCGTCTTATCGTACATAATATGTATTACTATTATAGTCGTTTGTATACACTAATTAATGGCAAACATGTGTACAGATATTTGTTTGAAAATAGTATGAAAATAAGTCGGTAGTCGGGACGTTGGGATACATACAAAGTTATTTAATTTATATATGTAACAAACGATAAACCACCGCTAACGAAAAACAATTCGGAGCGATTAATTCGGTTATATCTATACGTGATTTGAAAAACCGTAATATTTACGATTTTCGTCAAAATTTCATTTTCGAACTCTAATAGAAAACAAAAAAAAAAAAAAAGCGCAATTAATAGTAAAACCGATACGCTCCGAATCTAAAACCGTTATNTATCTATACGTGATTTGAAAAACCGTAATATTTACGATTTTCGTCAAAATTTCATTTTCGAACTCTAATAGAAAACAAAAAAAAAAAAAAAAAAAAAAAAAAAAAAATACATAACACTGAATTTTCTTTATTTGATCACTATGTATGAGTCGCGGCTCGCCGTAAATATTTGCCGTTTGTCTATAATTTTCTGTCGGATTTTTCTCAATTATTTTGAAAACCCCTTGGAAAATCAAAAAATGACCTTTTTAAAACACCGATTAGACAAAATTTTCTTTCAAAAAAGGTACTAAACTCTATTCATCGAAGAAGAGATTTATTTATAAAAAGTTGTATACAGACAGAAAAAAAAAAAAGAAGCGCAATTAATAGTAAAACCGATACGCTCCGAATCTAAAACCGTTATCTATTATATTTTTATTTTAATTAGGCACCATAACTTTTGTATACTTATAGATACCTATTATTTGAATTTGGCTAGCTAAAAATTATCAGAAATATTATTATACTTGGGTATAGGTAGCTGTGTTGAACAATGTATATTGTTACTTATCGCTGACTTTAGTTTTATCACGTTAAACATTAGTACTGTACACTAACGTATGACGTACGTTCGCCTTTTAATTAAAAGTGTTAATTAATATAGATAGGGTTTTATAATATATAATATTATAAACTCAATGGTAATATTAATATACTTACAAATTATAATTTTTTTTTTTAACGCGGGAATATCTAAAATATTGTGGCGGACTAATAATATAGTTCACCATAAGTTCACTCCTTCCTGTTAGTTATTGATCTTTACGAGAAAAAAAAAATCCAATTTAAAATGAAAATAAATACCAAAATTATACATCCTGTAGACAAATAATACAGGCTGCAAAATACTCGATTGTGTACCTATGTATACTTATCACGGTTATATGGATATCTAGTGGCTGGTGGACGATAATACCCTATTAGCCACTATATAGATTGGCGCCCTGCATATTTATAATACAATAACGTTCGTAATTATTTTTATTTCATTAGGTATATTCTTATGGTATCGAATGCGGATAATTTGCAATTAGTTTACCGATTACAATATACTGTCATCCACACTTATTAGATAAGTGATGGCAATGACGCAACCTGGAAGGAGGTCAGAGGGTTATAACCAGAATAGTTTTATACATTTCAATTATTTAAATGACAATTCAAAATATTGTTCACGGATGTTTAAATGTTTGCGTCTCTGATCAAATATTTATCTGTAGATGAATTTATCTAGACACGTTTTTGTTTTATCTTAGATAAACATTAGACAACTTAAACAATTTTTATTTAGATAAGATAAAACACCAGAAGTTATTATCTATACAACACTGACTAAAACACCACAAGCCCTCCCTGACCAAAATGTCTCGTTATGTTTGAAATGTCCAAAAAGTACATAGGTATGCGTTATACTATTTTATTCAATCGTCTTACATTAACTTATGGAACTTTTTTTCAAGCGAACGAGGGGATTTCAAAATTAACCTGCCCGAAAAGCATACAAATACATATAGATTCGTTATAATAATATTATAGGTTTGTTATTCCTATACTGCGCAAGACTCGTTATTGGTTATTTTAGGCGTATGCGTATAATATTTTGTTGTACGTTTTTAAATAATACCTACTCATCGTTAACATAATCATATATGCTTAAAAAAAACTTCAAATTGCACGGTGTATATGTAAATACAAAAGTAACTGTAAAGGTACATAACGAAAATTATACATTTTAGAAGATTATTCTGCTATATAATACAATATATATCTATTGTCAAATAAAATCTGCAGTTTTATAATAATTACGTTGATTTTTTTTACTGGCCTAATCGCTGTAGTTTATTAGAATTGCATACCTGTAACTTGTGGTTCGTTTTTTTTAAATGCCGTAATACGTAATAATCGTACAATAATAAAATTGGTAGATTCCTTTCTTGACGCGGGACATTCCCGGTGTAACATTCAGATATACAGAGTGTAACTGGACTGTTTGACATTTTTATATATAATTACAATTTAAAAATGTTACACTCTGTATTTTATTAATCATTTTATTTTTAGACGTGCCTTTATCCGTTCTTCTATCAGTTCTATTAATTGTACGGTCGTGTTTATTTTATAGATGGAGCAATACGGATGCACCGGGCGTTTGGTTATATCGCGTGGGCGACATCGGAACCAACCAGAACGTGGAACCACCAGAATTTGTCGGCGGTGCCAGACCAGGTGCACAAATAAAATTAATTTTTAGTATTGTATTTTATTCGCAAATAATAAAAATTCAAATTTTTAATTTTGTCCGTGTTAAATAATGATTGCAGACGTAGGTTTGACGTGTGCGGTGACCGGATCATTGTGTCACAACCAAGCCTCGTGCGTAGATTATGATCAAGGAGACATGTGTTGTATATGCAAACAAGGATACTTTGGAAACGGCGTTACTTGTATTAAAGAAGGCGAGTATTTTTATTGTAATAATAATATTAACATACATAATAGTAATGGAATATTTGGTAGAAAAAAAAAAAGTATTATTAATAATACAATTTTTAGGTACAGTACAGTTTCACAAGTTCCACAGTTCTATACAAACATTAGGTGTTCGGCTTTTGGACATATTATTTCTATAATATGATAAAACTTTCTAATATTATGGTATAGTTGTTAAGTATATAGTGTTTTCTCTTAAAATGAATTATTCGAATCATTCAGCTGTAGGTATGTTGAGTGTTGACTCTGTTCAAACATAACGCGTATCATTGAAATCTTCTACAAATATGTAACACCCGAATGAAAGTTGAACATTTTGCAGAAAAAAATCAAAATGTCTAGCGAATTAATTATAGTCGAACGTCAGTTGTCATAAAATCATCACGTGTAGTCCATATATGTGATATAATTATGTAGGAGAAGTGGAGAACTGCATAAGGTACCTATACAATTTCAAATACAATAAATCACGAGTGTACGTATAGGTACATAGCAGAGCCGCAGGGGTGGCCAACTTTAATAGACTTAATAAGTAATAATAACGTTTAATTTCACAGTTTTACACAACACGTATTTTAATATATCTGACTACAAATTATTACTTTTAACTTATTGTTATTTGACAGAATTTGTTTATTTAATTACACTCCAATAAGACGTTTGTGCTTGCACGTATGTTGATTTGATAATTTCACAAAATCTGGGATGGGATATATGACGACAAAGATAATCTCAAGCTATCTTCAGAATGCGTATCAATCAAGCGTGATCGGTGTATAATTTTATTTTTCATAGTTATTTATTGCGTTCGTCAATATTGCTATTAATCTAACTTATGTTTTCGTGGATAAAATAAATGTACACGAATTTATAAAATATTAAATATTAAATGTACAATAAAATATCAAAATACAAATAGTTATCGGCAGAGCGCACAGATAAAGAACTAATTTTTGACAAAAACCTGAAGCCCTCGCGAGCCATGTCCGCCGTTGATCCGGGCGCGCAGGGCGTCATGGAAGCGATGAACAACAAAACGGTTCGCGAAATTACAACGTGACGGCTGTCAGACTGTGTAGATCGGCTATACTGCTCCGATACCCGCATTTGCAATGGCCAACTGTATATGCGTGCAATGCAAATAGAACATTATAGATCTAATAAGAATTTTGAATTTTCCGTTCTATATCACGCGTATTGTCGATTCGTTATTATTATTATTATTATTTTTTTAATTGCGTACAGGTATTCCTGTCCGGGTGGGCGGCAAAGTCAGTATAGACGTCAACGGGATTATCGTGCCGGAAGCGGACTTACAGTCGTACGTGGCCACGCTGGACGGCCGAGTGTACATGGCCATCTCGGGCGTGCCCACCAGTCTCGGTTTTGAAATGCAATACTTGTCCGTGTTCCCGTCGGTCGTCGCTTGGCTGTTCTCGCTGCATTCGGAAAACGCGTACAACGGATACCAGTTAACAGGTAACCTATAATACTGGCCACGTATACACGTATTATATGTGATCAGTAGTGGCGTGGATGGGCGTCTCCTATCCTATGAAGCGGCAGCTTTGTGACCAAATCTGGTGGGCGAGTGGGTGTCTGTGTAACGCTTTATCACTTTTAGATAATAATAATTAAAATGTTTAATATCAGTAACGTCTGGTAGCCAGGTAGCCTTAATTACAGCTCCCGATTCTCCCGGGCTTAAGTCGTTATGAAGGTTTTTTTTTGCTATTTTATTGCAATTTCTGCATAGAATAAAAAAGCGTTTGGAAAATTCCTTTTGAGGAGGAATGCATTCCAAAAAGTTGTTCACAGAAAAAAGAAATAATAATAAAATAAACATCATTGTAAAACCAATACATTCCTCGCTTCGCTCAGAATCTTAAATGTTTGTACGCCATGACTATTTCAGTCTTTGATAAAAACATTTTTTTCTAAATATTATATTATACTTATTATATTAATAGCTATAATATTAAAATACATTTCTGTAGAAAGTGAGTACAGTATTTTCCAATTAACGTGGTTTTAAGCATGCACAAACACGCAGTATAGAAAACTGTACCGTCTGTACAAACCTAGTTAGTTATTTTTTATCACGCAATTTGTATTATTTCAGGAGGAGTGGTTAACTATACTTCCGAGTTGACTTTTCCGGGAACCGAACACAGGATAACAATACATCAGCGATTTTTCGGACTCAATTCGTTCGATCAGTTAACCATGGACGCCACTATACAAGGGACAACGCCTTCGGTCCCCTTGCCGCACACTAGGTTCACATTGCCGAACGATAATCAGCAGCAGTATACAATAACAAACGGTACGCATAGAAAATGGATTTTTAAACGCCTGTTTTTGTTTTGTGGTATATCTTCTTTTTCTTTAAATAGTTTATCGAAGACCTGCGCGTTCCTACTATATAAATATAATATTGTAGTTTTTTCAAAACCGCTCATCTCTGTCTAAAATGATACCAATCCTATATTTATACAGGTCGCATGCATTCGTATTACACGTACAGATATAAACAAGAGGGATCGGATTTCGAACAGCAAGTGACCGCGGCACAAAAGTTTGAATTTGCTCAGCCGTGCAATAAAGCTACCAAAGGGTTCTCGTCTTTTTTGCTACAAAATTCCAAAGCGTTTACTTATTACGAAGAAAAAGTTAACATATTGCGTCTGGTCAGCACCAATAACATATTTTTGCCTTTTGGTAAGCATAAAATGTCTATTCGGTTGACAGCTATTAAATAATTAAATCGTTGTAAAATACTGAAATGTACAGGTATCTATATCAATATTACCATATCTATCTACTTATAAAATACCACAAGTCCACAACTTTAAAATATTAACAATTTTTTTAACAAACGTTTCTTACATATAATCAAAAAAAAAAAAAAAAAAAAAAATGATATTGGATTTCAGAATTCATTACTAGAAATTGTTGACGAATTTCACAAACACACATTCTTAATTAAAAACTATATTTGGTTAATATCTAATAAATTTGACTATAATTTACTTAAAAAAAAAAAAACACAGTTATATTCTGTAGTGTTTAGAAAATGTTGAAAATCGTTTACTTCGTTGTATAGCTTTTAAATGTAGGTAATATTGTGCAGTGTACATGCCTTATTAGATATTTGATATTCGTATTTCTATGTGCGCAACAGTTTTGTTGTAATTGGTTTTTAATCCGTTTACAAACTAAATTGATTATTATTATTACCTTATCAACAGAAGACGTGCAGGACCCTTGCAACGACGGACAAACAAAATGCGTGGCAAACAGCACTTGCGTTCGAGAAGGAAGTACTTTTAGATGCGAATGCAATTTCGGGTAACTGATGCACTGCATTTAATCAGTTTGTGTTTGGTCACTGTTAGTACCTAATATAGTGTTTGTATGTAGATTCCGCGAGCTATACGGTTCGGGGTCCGGGTGTATAGACATTAACGAGTGTCAAGAGAGGTCCGACCGTTGCGACCCGAACGCCATGTGTGTAAATGAAGTTGGAGCGTACAGTTGCCAGTGCAAGCCGGGATTCGAAGGAAACGGATATTATTGCGGAGCCGTCGCCCCGGTAGCTTCAAATTCGGGTGACTTTTTTTTTTTTTTAATTTTGACAGAAGGCAAATTATAGATTTTAGTTTTTACTGACTACGGGCGAACATGATGTAACGTCGGGTTGTAGAGTACACATTATAGCCATGGGCGCAAATATTGGGAAGGGGTGGTAAGGGGTCTAAAGCACTTCCAAAAATTCCCAATATGTTTTTTATAGTATCGTCTAAATATTCTATCGGTGTATTTCATATAATCGATAAGCAGAACATATGCAAACGATGCATATGTGATAAAGTTTAAGTATGTGTTGTCGTGTAGAGTGAATTGTGGGGCATTGTTTATGGGCACGGGTTTATGATGTGCCTATAGTTTTAGCACCCCCAAAGTGGGTGGTCTAGTTGCGCCTACAATTACAGCAGGGTTGTGTAGAACACAAAAATAGCATATTACACGAGTTTCAAGTTGTCAACACAAACATTTAATATATTTTAGAACCATCGCCGCCGAGAATAGTCGAGAACAGTGTTTGCGACGTGCCTAATAATATCAGTACTTGTTCCTGTATTCAAGGGTGAGTGACCTGATCATATTATACGTACTTAATTTGTATTAATTTATATAAATATTAACTATATTTTAATTTTAACCCCTGCTCAAAAAAAAAATAAATAAAAAATTACCATTTGGTATATTAACATATTTTTTTAGATTCAGAGTGCGTCGAGGAATGTATTCATTTTTCTGTGTGCCTTTTTTTTTTCTATTGAGAAAAATCGGACGGATTTATGAAATTGAAAGTTTCATTTTTTCGATTTTGTTTTTCTACTTGAAATTTTATTTCAAATTTCAAGAGTAACGTAAGATAAATAATTGGAAAATATTCACGGCATTATAACGTTTTCATTATTCTTTAGTTATAATTAGGCTAAAAATAAATATAGAGACATGACATTTACACAGAATACTTATACTGGCTTTTTTATACGTGGTAAAATGTTCAATACATTCTGGCAATTTTTAAGCCATTGACATTTGCACTTTCGAGTTTTTGATTGGTTTTATATTCAGAATCGTTTTGACCTATTGCTTCACAATTTTACTCGAGATTCTTCATAAATTGTAATTATTATGGTCAAAAAAAAAAAATAATAACTTAACGTAGTAGTTTTATTTATAAACATATTAAGTTCGAATGTTGACGAAAAAAGTAATAATCACATTTTAAAACATATTTAACCGAATACTTCGTTAGCAATGATTTTTCATGTATACATAAATATTTTTTTTAAGATATGAAATACGGTTGTTGTCAGCGGATTCCACCGATTTCGAGTGTGTAGACGTCAACGAATGCAATACGGTAGAAGTATGTCACATGAACGGTTACTGTACCAATTATCCTGGAAGCTACTCGTGTTCCTGTAATCCTGGTTATGTAGGAAACGGACTAAAGTGTTTACCGTTACGTAAGTATCTACTAAACATCTATACACACTTATACAATAATGAGTATATACCAGAGCCGTAGCAAATGTGAGGCGACTGAGACATTCGCCTCAGGCGCTGAAGCGCAATCATTATGGGGGCATTAAATCTTGAACATTTTTGTAAACAAAATATCCAAACGTATCTCTTTTACTGTATAGCTACGCGTGAACGTTTCTTTAGTAAACTTTAAGATCCACCATATGGGCCGAGAGAGGCTATCAAATTTAGCTATTTTATCTATAAATATTAGAAAATGAAGTTGCTGGAGAAATTGAATACAAGGATGTTAATGATAAATTATAGGCAGTCAAATCGATTGAGAAGAGTACAATTGTACCCTAATTGGTAAACTTTGCACACATAGGTAGGTACCTATGTTTTTTGCACAATCCTCTTTCGTTTAAAACTATATTTCATTTTTTTTTTTTTATTCAGTACCTATCTCTGTTAAAATAAATAAATACACGTTTATCTGAAAATTCGATAAATTATAGTTTTTAAAACGGTACCTAAGAATTTTTGTTTAGGTGGGAGCGCCAGGTGCATAAAATCAAATTTGCCCCAGGCACCAGAATAGCCTTGCTACGGCTTTGTATACAGGGCGATTTTTTTTTTTTTACCACGAACCAGTAATTATCTCAGAAGATTTTAAGGAAATTTGATTTCTTTTCTAATTACTATGCTGTCGTTTAAGCTTTATTACTCCTACTCCATATACCTTAAAGAACTAATAAGTACATACTTATTATGTTCAAATAGGAATCCCTTTTGAACACAGATTTGAATAGAGAATATTTGTCTAGATATGTTGATATGCATAACACTAATATCATATTTACCGTTTATAAGATATAAGTTTAAAGTTTAGACCGGAGAAGTAGGGAAGGGTAATAAATTGCCTATCTATAACAGATAAAACAGAAATCAAATTCATTTAAAATCCTCCGAGATAATTGTTAGGTAGTTCATAATAAAAAAAAATCATCCTACATAATATATATATATATAAAAATTAAAAATTGTGGTCGAATAAAATGTACTCCACATTAGCCCCAAGATGTCGGTCGGGTGGACGTGGTATACTTGGTTGTCCTGTTGTTAAAGCGTGTTCAACGGGCAGTTGTACGTGTCCTTCGACTTATACCGATGTCGGAACTCACTGTGTGCCGCCTCCAGACGATGGTTCGACCGACGCTGTAGATGACACGACCACTCAAGAAACGTCCAGTAAGACTTACAAATTATTATGCCCTCTCAAAAAAGAAAGTAATAACATATTGTACAGAGATGTAAACAAAAATAAAAGTAGTCGTCTACGATTTGTTTAGCTCTAAAAAAAAACTATAATAACTTTAAGTTAAATAATTTAATTTGATTAGAGTACACCCATAGAAATTATCATCGCCGTCTTCGATATGCCATACTGAAATCATATTATATTATAAACGTTTCCCGCGACTTCGTCTGCGTAGACAATTTTATGCCTTTTCTGAGGGATTTATAAAAGCTTAATAAATTATTGACGTACTTAAAATGTGAATATATTCCCAGCAACTAGAAATAGTAATATTTTTAATTATTATAATAATTAGATAGGTAACTGAATAACACGAAATATTTTTTCTCGAAATTAGACATATAGAAACATACAACTAGAAAAATAAAATAAAAAGTGAAAAAAGTATTTAATTTTATTAGAAAAAATGACGCGACACCCAATCTACTATCACAGTCTAATTAATGGAGTAATCTAGCCAAATTTTGTTATCTACTTACCTATGTAAATTGGTGTTCAGTTTGAAATTTAGAGTTTACAAACAATACAAACAAATAGTAAAATTTTAAATTCTTATATATAAGTTAAAATTGTATGCTACTGTAAACTACATGAACCATAATTTATATTATGCTATATACGTATATATATATATATTTGTAAAATTAAAATAAAATAGCTTTTTTCAAAAAAAATTACAGCTATGTAAGAATCTACATTCAGTCCTTGAAAATATTATTTTCGTTAAATTTTGGTATTTGTATTTAAAAACTCCAATTTCAACCATAACATCTTGTATAATATTCTAAGTAACTGAATTTTGCTATACTAGTTAGATGTAATAATAAATGAGGGTGTTTGAATCATTGAATGTGTTCAACTTTATAAAGACCTTTGAATCCCTTAAGTGTTAAATTTTGAAAACATTTTCTTAGTTGTCTACTGTTATTTAAGAAACCACTTTGCAAATTTTCAAATTTCTAGGTCTAGCAGTTTAGCTGTGCATTAATACGTCAATCAGTCAGTTTCTCTTTTTATATACATAGTTTATATTAATAATAATTATTTATTTATTTATTTATTTATTAGAATTAGAATTTACACATAATATCTGGGTTCCACTCATCCATATGGATTTTAAATTGTCCCTACACAGTTGTTTTTTTATGTTAATATTGAAATTATTGTATTTTATTTTTTATGTTTGTTGTAGTTTCTTGTGCCGAGATTAACACGTGTCATGCCCACGCCCAATGTATCTTTGTGGCCTCACAACAGCAACATAGATGTCAATGCAATCCAGGATACGAGGGTGACGGATACGAATGTTCAATTATTGGTGAGGATACTTATATATTATATAATTTATTCGTGTTGGTTAATTTTTATTTTTTCTATTGTAGTATTTTTCTTACTAAAATTAAAATACCTAGTTTATATAGATATAATCTTTTCCACTCCAATCTGAAATGCATAAAATTATCAAAATATTATTCTTGAAAATGTTAAAGATTAAAATGCTCTTGGACAAATTATAGTTTGATAAATAAAATATATTTTTATAATCCATACTTTTAAACTTTAAGTCAAATTTTGCTTAGTAAGTAATCGTAAAATAATTGTTAGAATATTTTTATCACAATTAGTATTATTACTAGTAATTGTATGCCTGTCATAAGATTATAGTGGATTTTATATTTGGTTGTGATGTTAAATCAACAAAGCATTAGAGATGGATCATGACTTTTGTATATAAGATACATAGAGAATATTAACTTACACATATTATAAAATAACTATTCTATTCTTAATTTTTTAATACCATTGAATAAAATATGAATGATCACAATCAACTTAACACTAACCAAAATTTGTATGAAATGTATGCAGAATTTTCATGTGAAAAGTCAAACATCTGTGATATACACGCTAGCTGTCAGCAAGGCGAAGGAGGTCATTCAATGTGTGTTTGCCACAGTGGATATGAAGGAGATGGTACCAGATGTACACAAACTGGAGAATGTGAACCTAATTGTGGCTTAAATGAGAGGTGTACATACAACGAAACCAGTTATATATATAGCTGCGCTTGTTTGGATGGTTACCAGAAATATGAAAATAAATGCCAAAGATCACCACGTAAGATACAAACCAAATATTTATTTATAAAAATATTTAAACTTATTGAAAATTTTTCCAGGGTGTCAATATGAATGTCACAAATATGCCAGTTGTGTACAAAATAACATGTGTCGTTGTATTAGCGGATATCAAGGTAATGGTGTCACACAATGTGAAAGAATTGTTGAACCTGGATGTACTGAGAATTCATGTCCAACAAATGCTGAATGCATGTACAATTTGTCTGGTCATTATAGTTGTCAATGCAGACAAGGATTTACAGGAAATGGTTACAATTGTAAAGGTAATACAATAAAAATTAAATATTTCACAATAAACAATAATAAATAACTTAATATTTATTTAAATTAAAATAATTTGTTTTATAACATCAATTTATAGTATCTATAAAATAGAATATTTACATAAAATTTATATGTATGTGTATAAAAAAAATTAAATATATTTTTTTGTAGCCAAGTGGTTAGAAAATCACTTCTGCTCAGACTTATTTTACCCTTATACTTAAGTATCATTTGTTTTAAGAAATTAAAAAAACAGCAAAAGAAGACATCTACTTACTCGTAAATCAAGGGATGGCAACATTGCATATTTCAACCGTTCCAAACAAAACAAAACTGGGTCATCCAGTTCACCTGCAATTTTATCAAATAGCGATTGGTAAATATAGAAAACTTAAAAATTATTTTATAGTCATAGTTAGTAGCAGTAATGTACATTTTATTTTATAGGCATTGCAGTTGATTGCTTAGAAGGGCAGCTTTATTGGAGTGACATAACAGGTCAAACAATCAAGTCAGCTAAATTGGATGGTTCAATGGTACAAGAATTTATTGTTACTGACGCAAAATCAACAGAAGGATTGGCTTTAGACTGGGTTAATAGAAAGATTTATTGGACTGACTCTGGTTTAAAACGAGTAATGGTTGCAGATTTATCCAATGGAACCCATATAACAACCATAGCAAATTCTTCATTAAGTAATCCCAGAGGAATTGCAGTTCATCCAAATAGAAAGTAATACTAATAAATGATTTAATAATTTAATAGACTAATATTTTTTAATTATCAATGGTTAGAAAATTATTCTGGTCCGACTGGAACAGGAATAGCCCTAAAATAGAGTGGTCAGATTTAGATGGTAGCAGAAGAGAAATATTTGTTCAAGGACCTAATGTCAAATTACCAAATTCTTTAGCTATAGATTGGTACACAGATGAAATTTGTTGGGCAGATGCAGGCCTAAAAAGCATTGGTAAATAAATAATTTAAAAAAATTATATATATTTATATATAGAAATATAGAGAGATAACTTCAGTTTTAATACTAATTATCATACATATAATTGATCTTTGTTGCTAAATTACAAAAACTTAAATTGTTAACGTATAATTTATTATAATATTGCAGAATGTATTGGAATAGACAGTAGATTACAACGGACTGCTGTTGCTAACTGTAGTTATCCTTTTGGATTGACCATTACCCAAGATAACTATTATTGGACTGACTGGATATCGTATGTGATCTCATATATTTTATTAAAAATAAACAAATATATTTACACATACTTTTTTTTTCAGAGAAAAAATTGAATATATTGGAAGATATGAAAAAGTGAAAAAAGAACATTTACCTGTACCGTTAGTCAGTAATGGTAAATTGTATGGTATAACAGCAGTTACCGGAAAATGTCCCTAATATACAAGACTGAATAAATTATAATTTATAGCTCAAGCATTAAAACTATAATATGCTAATATAACTATAATTCAGTCAAATTTGTTTTATTTTAATTATAAGTATATAAATAATAAAATATAAACATCTACCATGTTCAAATTGGTTTATATAGAAGAGTGGTGACAAATTTTTTACGATATCTGTGTGTGGCACTCAACACCATGACTCCATCTTTAATTGAAAGAGCATACAAATGGTTGAGCATCACATGGTTTGGTTCTGGAAGAATCGTTGGTTCCAACTATAAACACAAAATATATTATAAAAATGAATTGACCATAAAAAAATTGTATAGATTAAAATTACCGAAATCGGAGTGTCTTTATTTAGGATCACTTGTAGAAGATGTGGTGGTAGAATAGGTGGCCCAGGAATTTTTTGCCATGGAACTGATGAAGGAATTTCTTGTGAAAAGCCAGCTGAATAAAAAACAATTTATTATTAGTAAAATATGAGATTAGATGAGATAGCTAGTTAAGAAATGTATAAACATAATTTATTTAATATTAATTTAACACAGTTATTAATATTTATTTTTCACTATAACACTATTGATAAAAAAAAATAAATAATAATAATTTAATAAATGTTTATTTTATATATTTTTTAAACAAAATTTGAATGGTCAAATATTAATAGGACATTTTATTTTGGTTAACTTTAGTTTTTTTTATCATGGAATTAATAATTTAGCCATTATTATTACTTTAAAAAAAAAAAATTTAAAAAATTAAATATTTAATATATTAATAAATAATATTTTAAAGTATAACATTTATTATTTTTTTTGTAAAGAGTAAGTATTAAAAATGTATTTTATTTTTCACTTTAAATTACATACATTTGTATATACAGGCTGTCCCATGGAAATATACCCCTTGAATATCTCTGTAGATAATAAAGATAACCAAATTCTGTTTTTTTTTTTTTTATTAGGAAAATAAAAACAATAACTTTTCATTTTATTATTTTTGAAAAAATTTTAAGATCACATTTATATCTGATGAATTATTTTTAAGTATCGTGTAACACAGTTAGGTTATTTCTTAGATAACATCAGGTTTCACACGGATTAGTTGAATTTGAAATTACTGTTACTTAAAAACTGTACATCAGATAAAAATGTGTGATACACTAAAATATTCAGAAAAATAATCTTTACATAATGGTTTTCTTAAAAATTTTCCGAAAATAATAATATGAAGTTATTTTTTTAATAATAATAATAATAAAAAAAACAGAATTTGATTATCTTTATTATCTTCGGAGATATTTAAGGGGTATATCTTCATGGGACAGCCTGTATATATACCTACGAACTAGTTTAAATAGATATTTTTTAAACGAATATTTTGTAAAACAATAAACAGTAAATTTTACTCTTTTATTTTACTTAATTTAAAAACAAAATATATTATATAAATAAAGATACACTTATTAGGTATTAAAATTTTTCATTTGAGTCATTAAATAGTTTATCATACATATTATTAAATATTTCTCCATATCTCCATAATCTAGTAAAATTTTAATATAAAAAAACAAATTACTTTTTTCAATGCCATTTTCACCAATTGCATCTACATCTAATGCTTGGAAAACTTCAAAATCTGTTTTCTTTACTACTACTTTGTTATTTGTAATACCGGGATCACCATCTATCATGGACTGAAAATACAATTAACACAAAATAATTAATTTGTTTTAATTTATCTCAAAGAGTAAACTTACTACTTTTGGGTCACATTGCCAATTCCCATCAACACAAAATTTATACTGGTGTTCGCCTTCTGGTAAATCAATGATGGTCACAAAATCACTGTGACTACAATCAGAAAAACAAAAAAAAAAAAACTATTTAAATAGCAATAATTATTTATAATGTAGTTTTTATATTTTAATAAAAAAAATATTTAACGATAATGGTTTAGTAAAATTTTTTTCAGATTTTTAAACATAAGTTTAGACTACATTTTATCACCGTATAGTAACAGTTTTGTAACTTTGGTTGAGAAGACAGGTACCTATATATTATTCGAATATTATTATATCATTATTAATTCAAGTATACAAATATTAAAAAGGTGGTACTTCATGCATTTTTAAAATATCCTGTTTACTATTTACAAACTAAAATATTTAATTTATTTAGATTTCTACAGATTCTTGGGTAGGGAAAAACAGGTTTGTATAGTATATCACTTATAACTATAAATAAACGATGATAGCAGTGGGGAAGAAGTATTATGAAAACAGATTTTTCATTGCTGTCGAATTATAACTTAAAATAAAAAAGGTTTCTATACACATAAGCATAATATACTGGGTTACAAAATTCTATACAGAATTATTGTTTAAAATACATTTAGAGACTGGACATTTTACATGTTCATATAATAAACTTTAAAATATAAACTTGTTCAAAAATCATTTTTCTTTTTATTACGATTGAGAAGTATAGTAAAAATATTGGTTTTATTAAATAAAAATTATTTAGTAAAATATATATCAAATTTTACAATAATATTTTATCATTTTATTACCATTACTACAAATATAAAACCATACATATATACAGATTTAACCGACAATAATAGGTACATAATTCAAATAGATACAAAATAAATGTTGTTTACGGTTAAGTGGTCTAATAGTATACCTTAAAATCATTGAAACACAATGTTTAAAAATATGAGTTAATCTTCTGGTAATAAAACATTAAAATATTTACCTACTTAATAGATTAGAAATAAATGGACTTTTCGATTTTTGTCAATTATAAAACATCATAATACCTAATCAATGTGAATATTGCTTAAGATTTATTTTTCATTGAGGGTTAGTCCCACCTGTGGATTACAGGATGCAGATATTTACCATAATAAGAAAGACATACTTTATTGAAATAGTAATACTAAACAAATGTTTATATTTATTTTTGGAATGTGAATTAAATGATAGAAATTAGCAATTAATAATTATTATATGCTTGACAATAAGAAAATGTTATTATTCAAAAATACCTTTGAACCATTGGTATAGGTTTCCATTCAGAGAATGTGCCGCTAATAAACACTTGTTTGCCACCACCTTCCCATCTGAATACAGTAGGTAACATTTTGTTTTCAGTGTCATTAGCTGACATGGAATGAGGAATGCCATCAGTAAAATCATCATCCTTATGGATGGAGAACATAAAAATTAAATTAAATAATAATTTAGCTTACAAGAAAATTAAAACTAGGCTATACAAATGTTGAACAAATAGGTAGATAACATACGTTTGGTTTAGACGGATTTTTAGTAAACACTGGATTCGCCTCGAGTAATGCATTAGTATCCGAATTTTTATCGAAAACAAATGCTTGACTTTGTACTTCTTTTGTCGGCGAAGAAGGAGCGATCAAACCTGCTGATTTGTGCCGTTGATTTCCACTGGTGTTGCCCATAGTTGGGTTACAACAATAGGCTGCTGATATGAAATCAAATCAATTGTTTTAAAATATAATTTATATTAATTACTATAGACATTGAGCTCTTAACACAATAGAAAAAAAAAAATCGTGAACCAATTGTTTAAAAACACTGTTATTTTATATGCACTTTAATTTGTACATTTAATTTTTCTTGTCACTATCATTTTAACAATTAGCAGGTAATACTAAGTTGAAGAAAAAATAGAGTTTATCATGGTATTCTAAGGTCATTATGATTTTAACAATAATATTGTCAATTAATACAGTGTTAACATTTTAATAATTAATATAATCATACCTATAGTAAAAACAAAACAGAAAAAATAATAAATGGTTTTATTATTGCTGCCTTACGTCCGGGAAAATTATAATTCCTTGAAGTCAGCTGTTTAGTGTTTACGTTTGACTGTGGAATTGTTTACAAACTGATAAACGAACATTAATCAGTAATCACCACGTGAGTAGTGGAGTTATGAACTCTGAACAATTGAACGTTGTATTTTTATATTATGTTTTATCAAATAATGGGATAATATTTCAAGTTATAATTAAACTTCGTTATTTTGTGGTTACATCAAGAATAATATTTTCTACGGTCATTTATTAGGTTATGGTGAAATTTTATGGGGCGATTCAAACTCGCCTAGGTATTCGATCTATCTTGCTAGCACCCGTGAATTGAAAATGTCAATAAAACGGTTCACGAGCACAGAGTTTAACAGCAAATGTCTATGATACAAAAAATAATTGTACACATTGACGTCCGGTTAAAGTTCATTTATACATTATTGTAAATTTAAACATTTTGAGATGTAGGTAGATACCTAGCCGATGTACACCCGTGTATGTATAATTACGCCCTATTCGTTATTATTGCGATTTTAAAATTTATCTATTATAAAATTATCAAATATTTTATTAGATATTACCTTTTCCTATATTGGTGAAAGGTTTTTTTGTTTTGGCCTTTTCTCTACGGAACGATGCGAGAAGACTTGTCATTTTCATTTTTACCGAGTTGACGTCTACGTTCATTTCTTTAGAAATCGCAAGCCAAGAATCATTTTTTTTGGATTTATTAAAATACTGCTCATTCATTGGATCCCACAAAAGCGGTTGATTTTGATAGAATCGTACCAACTTGAGACATTTTTCCCTATCCCACGATTCTACGCTCGTGTCCGTCATAGGTATCTTTGAATATGAATATTATATATATATATATTTTTTTTCTCAACAATAAATTAAATTGACAAATTACAAAAATACTTTTAAAATTACACAAAAATACTGAAGGTCGGAACTCGGGAGATCTGAACGACTGGATACTAAACGAAGACTGTCATTGTAGTTTTTATAGCCATTAGCCAAACGACAACAAAAACAATAACAACAGCAACGATAGTCAGGGCCGAAACCTAACAGAAAAGTACCAGAAATATTACTTTCTTCGTGATAATTTTAAATTGAACTCAATATCACGATGTTGGTAGATAAATGTATTGTACTAAATAAAAACAATTTATGAAATTAAATACGAACTACGTAGGTACCTGATAGCATTAATGACAATTTAATATTATTAATAATAAGTACCTAGCTATGTACATACTAAATAAATTATTATTTCTCGTCAAATTTCTTACGCAACATATGATTATAATTATCTCGAGAATATTGTGAACATTCAAAATTCATTGGAATGTTTATATTCAAGTGCTCATATTTTAATGTATTGACACAATCCAAAATTAAATATCTATTTATAATATTATATATCTGTTTCTGTTTAACCCAAAGCGTTAGTATCACAGTTATTTTAATTTTTTTCCATGAACAACTTTTCTACCAGAAATTTCGCTCAGATTTTCAAGTACAGCACCTTTTCTGAAAGGACGTTTTATCTGAGTGGTACTTTAGGGACGACATTTTTTTAATTTTCTAATGGGTTTTTATAAAAATTGGGGAAAACGAGAACATTTTCGAAACGTATTATTTTTAACTTTGTTGTGATTCCGATAAAAATGTTCGTAGACTTGAAATTTTGACAGAAAACTTATATTTGCCTTTTCTAGACGTGGTCAAATTTTCAAAACATTTTAGCCATTTTTAAGTTATTTATATAGACATTTTAATCTTGCGAGTTTTTTCATAGGTAATATTTATTTGGTAGTTACCTAGTTACCTATTCTGTAGATAAAATTGTCAGACCAAATAGAGATGCTTGACAATTTAATAGAAGGTTTATTTCATCTACCTAAGACGTAATTTCTTTTGTAAAAAAAATTGAGTGTAATGTAGTTTTTTTTTTTATACGAATTTTAATATAAAATTTTGCCGAAAATCGTAAATATTACAACCTTTCAAAACATGTATTACCGAACACTTTTCAGAATTGTTTTTGGTTAGCAATGATTAATTATTGCACACATATATAAATTAAATTCCCTTCTATATTCTACCTTTGCAATTTCTCATCTATAACAGTGGCCTACCCATAGTAAGTCTTTTACCTTGTGAGGATAGTATTGGTTTTATTATTATTATTATTTTATTGTTAAATGCAAAAGAAAATAATGAATTTTCTGTAAATAGAACATTTAAACAAAACACATTATTAATCTCCTATAGCTTACAGTTACTAATGTTGGAATAATCAATAAAATAATCAAGTACAATTTTAAAAACTGTAATTATTATTTTAACATTGTGTATTTCGGGTGGTGCTGTTGAGTGCCTGCCCACAAATGCTAAATTCTGTTACTTGTTATATCAACTATCAAATTTACTCATTGTACATAATGTTGTATAGATTATAAATAAAATTGCTTTAAAAAAAAAAAAAAAAAAAAACATTGTGTATACATTTTATTGGGACAGGCCAAATGATAAATATCAAAAAGGTTAGCCTAATCTAATTACAATTCTCTACTTTGTGGATTAGGTTATCGATCAAAACCTACTTGTAACAGAAACTATTACTTGATGTAATATAAAAATAAATTTAAAATTATTCGTATACGACGTATACATATTTATTAAATAAAACATCTTAAAATATGAGATCATAAATAATCAACAGTTTTTTTTTTGCATAGAAAAATCCTTAATGGTTATCAGTTAAATTTTCGAATTTTTGGAATATTTTATTATTTTTCCACTCAACTGTTCAATTTGTCTATAGGTATAAGGTATAATGAGATGAGACCGTGGACAAAAACAACTAGTTATCACTAGGCTTAGGGACTTTTAGCATTTGCGTATATTTCTGAATTTTGTAAAAAGTTGCAGAGTCAAATAGAAATCATGTTCTTGTTAAATAGAATCTAAATCGAAAATTTGATCGCGCATACCTATTTGAATGTTCTTTTCTCGTAGGACCGTATATTAGCAGAATGCAGCTTTTAAATGCTATAACAGGCCATTTATGAAGGCATCTATTTATAAAGGCAATTTCCCGGTCATGTTTATCGCCGATGTATAGTAGAGTAATACTTATATACCTACTAATACATCGTTTCCCGTTATTGTATTAATTCCCGTGATAAGGCCTGCTTTCATCGGCGATTAGATAAAATTATAAATATGAGACTAACAACTGCACAGTTTGTACAGACCGCGTTCCATAATTGCATAAAATTGTCGACCGCTGTCTATCATGTTTAAACTTAAAATGTCGGAGTATAACGATCGACAAGTAGCCGTTTACAAAGTTTTGTTACTGGGTTTAAAGACGTATTTTCATCTGACTGACATGTTTTACTATGTAAACTCTGTGAAATGCATAGATAATATAAGAAATAAGAATGGATAGACAACTCCTATATTAATATAATAAGGGGTCGCGTTCCAAATTGCTAATGAGACAGACAACTTACACCGCTCTCACTCACACAGTAAAGGGTTTTATCAATAATTATATTTCACAATGATAACAACACTCAATCAACGTATTTGTATTTGAATTTTATTCATCATATCAATACAATGTTGATTTTTATTTGAATTTTGTGTAACAAGACAATTTCAAGTAAGTATTACAATACAATTTGATAATGTTATTATCGTATTTTTCTCGAAATTAGAAAGATTAAAGATGAAATAAAAAGAAAATCGTACTAAGGGCTAAATTAACGAAACTTTTTTTTCCATTACATATATGAATAAATTCAATTGAATACCTACCTACTGTTATTTTACAAAATGTTCATGAACCACAGTTGTGATATGTTTTTTCTAATAGCGTATTATGTAGGTATATAGTTATTACTTATTAATTATAACGCAATTTAAATGTTTTTGTCAAATTATTAATACATAATAAATAATGATTATATATGATTATAAAGCATTGATTAAGTTTAACTAACTAGCTCAATTGATATTAAATAAAAGTAAAATGAGTTATGAACTACCTATTGATTATTTCTGATCAAGTTTACAACCTTATTGGTAAAACCCCCTGCAACCTGAAATTATAAAAATGTTTGTTCTCCTGTAATAAATTCTCATGGCGCATCAATTTTTAAATATGGTGAAATGTAAACTCTGTGATAAAGTTTTCCACTGCAACGTCTGCACCAGTGTACACTTTTATGTTCCATACGGAATATTGAGACACATTTTTATGTTTCACATGCGTGCATTTTATCAGTTTATCGCCCCGAGTGCAGTAATAATTGTACACGCTTTTCGAGCTCGTGGGCCTTATCTTTTATTGATAAAGATATCAATCTCGATGCTTGAATAATAATATAATTTTAACTGATAATACATAGGTAAACTCATAGGCCGTGTTCTCACCAAAAGCAACTGATGACGGCAACGCGATAGAGATTCAAGTCTAGTTTTAGTTGAGTTGCCTAGTTGTTCTCTTATACGAAACTTCAATGCAACTTCAATGCATATTCAGTTATCAAAACGTCTTCATCCGATGAGGATATTGTTGTAGCATTTATGTATTTGAGGTATAGAAAACAAAAAAAAATAAAAAATTGGGTTCATCCATACTATTCACTCAACGTCAACCACAGTTCATTTATACTAACGAGAGATTTAGACCAAGACCCAGCTAAATTTCATGGTTTTTATAGAATGAGTATTGAAAGTTTTCAAGAACTAGTAGAACTAATGAACAACATTTTACTTACTAGAATTGTTCGTTTTTTTTGAAATGTCATTCCATGCTTTTTCTTTTATGTCTTGTCGAGTATAATTAGATGATGTTATATCATAGAGACATGGGTGACTTTCTATAAGTTGTACGAAAGCTATATTTTCTGCTTGTTCATTTGCCATTTTAAATAAATTATTAACAAAATATTAAATTGATTGTACCTTATCATAAACCAGAGTAATAATCGAATAATTGAAATATTCACAAAATCGCAACTATTCAACGCTAGCAACTAGACAGAGAGACTGATACGTCGAGTCGCTCAAAAATAGTTTTCCAGTCCGGTTGCGACCTGTGAGAACACGTCAATTTAATAATAAATTGCGCGTTGCGTCGCGATTGCGTTGCCGTCATCAGTTGCTTTTGGTGAGAACACGGCCATAGACCTGGTAATACGTTTGTAGGCCTATGGGTAAACTATAAGCTATATTTTTATATTTATTTTTTTTTGCTCTCTAGAAATTCGTTGGTACAAAACCGGTGTAACGATACATTTTGTACCGGTTTATTAAAACTTGATACCGATTATTTTACACCCGTATTCGACGATGGAAATCGGTGTATCCCCAACATTGTACAAAATTGACAATGATAATATTGTCAATTAAATATTAATCCATTATTTAAATTATTAGTATATTATACTTTCCATTTCCCGCTAATAAGTACTTAATAAAAATGAATTTGAATAGGTATTAATTGTTATCAATTAAATTATTATTATTATCATTTATTTTTTCGTTTATTATTTCGAGGGGATAAGATCGGTGTATATAGTTTGCACCGTATGCATGTGATGGTGCAGAAAAGTTAAACCTGTGTCGTACATTTTAATACCGAATAGTTCGAAAAATGTCTCAAATCCACACCGGTTTGATTTTCAAGGGGAAATTTACACCAGTTTGTATCAACGAATTTCTAATCTATGAACACAACGGAATAGCTTAAAATACCATCATTTTAGGTTAGTGTGTTACTAACTACTCACCGGTCACTTGCTTGGTTCTTATCATTTACAAGCGTTCCTTTTTCAACACACAAATTGGGTAATAACTAACGAGTTCACTTGGGCTCAGACTAAAATTTATTTTATAAACAAATATTTATAAAATACATTTTGTTTCCTAGTTTAGTTTTGTTCGAACAGTTATCTGTATATAACGGTATAGTGTTCCTACAATATTACAACAATGATACCTAAGATTGATCTTCGAAAGTATGGAGAGTAAGTAAATTGAATTTGGCACTTTATTTTTCAATTTTTTTTTTTTGAAAATATATGTTTTTTGACACTGATTTTGAAAGTGTTTGTTTTTTTTTTTTGCGGAACCCATTATTCAGGAAGTTCTTAAAGTTTGAAGTTTACCGCTAATACGGTACAAATGTCGTTGTACTCACTCAGATTGTTTTAAATATTAACACCCTCAATTTGTTTTGCAAAACTATGATGGATAGGTAACAGGAAAAAAATTATTTGAGGTTAACTTCTGGGCATAATTAAAATGTTTAAATCACATATGGAGATTACACACTTGTTAATGTTAAAAAAAAGTGAAACAATCTTTTAAGATCAGTAGATATCGAACATTTTGAACTATGGTCAAATGTGAAAAAAGTGTTTGAAAAACAACTAGGTATTTAATCAAAACCACAATAACGACAAAATTGAAATTTCCATAACTTCCTTGAACAAAAAAATTAAAATATTTTCAAAATCAGAGGTGAAAAGTAAACATAAAAAAAAAAATTGGTAAAAATAAAAGGTTCCCAGTAAACTAGATTTATACCCAAAAAAATAAATGAAATTATGTAGTTAACTAAAGTTGACAACAACTGGATAACTGAGGTAGGTATTCCATAATATTATATGCAGTATTCACTGTTATACCTATCTTATATCATTCATTTTACTATACAGATTTTACCAAATATTATTCTTAAAATATCCAATAAGTGAATTTCACACATTTGCCTAACATATAATTTTTGTATGTTTTTTTATCTGCAGTATATTATTTTCATTTTAAATGCATAATCTATAAATATAATATATAATTTTTATAGCAAAATATTAAAACATCAAAAATACTCGAGTGCCAGAAAATAATTTCTTGGCGGACGAGAACTAAACCAGTCCCATTTAAAAATGTATGAAAAAGTAAAAAAACAAACATTTATTAAAAAATTAGTAACTTTAGATTGTTTATGATTTTGATGCAAAGTAATTTTGTATACAGTATGTGTTTGTTTATTGGAATCACAAACACAACTAAAATATACTGATGAATGGTAACTATTGATTGGTTTATCCATGATTAATAAACCAGTTATGTTAGTAACTTTGCTTACTTTGGCAAATTCTATATATATAAGAAAACAATTGTTTAGTCTATCTAAATGTTTAACCTAACCTTTCGGAAAAACTAATAACATTAATAGTTTGATTAAAATTGTTAATAGAAAAGTTGTCTACAGAAAAAAATAAATATCTTTGTGAAACCATAAGCTTCGCTCCACTCAGAATCTAAAATGAGTTTGCATAAAATAAACTAAAAGGCACTTATAATTGCTGGACTGCTAGTGACTCACTGAAGTCATTAAAATTCACTTTTCAACTCTTAAACTCTTCATTAGTAAAGATTTTTAGATTCTACAATGTAGCAAAATGTTTGATGTATTTGGTCTCTTTAATTTTTATAGGTATTTCAAATATTTTAACATTTTTTCAATCTAGTTATTTTGTTTTAAACATGTTCTATTAAACTATTTTTCCCAATGACATGTAAATGTTTTATAGTTTTAGTCAAGCATTAGTCACCAAATATTCATATTGTGCGTTTAAACGTTAAATAATAAACATTTTAGTCTATAATACGGTGAGCAGCATAGGCGTACACACAGGGCATGCCAAGTGTGCTTGTGCACTACCCAGAAATGTTTAACAGACTTTATCTCATTTCATCTTAAATACATAGAAAATATAAAAGTTTTATATTTTGTAGACTATTTATTTTTTTAACTTGTTTTCAGTTACTACTTTAACATAAATTATTTGACTTGTATCAGTGTTTATTGTCTTATTTTTATATTAAAATCACTTTCAAAAACTATATACATATAATAATTTATGCAAATCATAGAATACAATAAATTGAGAATACCTAACTAGGTACCTAAGTTAGTTATACAAAACAAATTATACATTATAAATTGTTTTAAATAATGATATTAGTTGAGTTTTATTTATTTAACGAGTTGTAAAATGTATAGTTTTTGTATTTTATGTAAATTGTAATATATAACTATATAATTTAATAAAGCGTAAAAAAATTATTTCATAAAATTAAAAACAAAAAATTTACTATAATTTTAAAGGTGAATTGTTTTATATTTATTTCCCAGATAATCTATTCATACTCCTAATTTTAAAAAGAACAATTTATTTTGTCTTAATTTTTAGCTAATTCTTAAGCTAGGATCATTTTATTTTACGTGATTGCTCACTTGTTAAATTTTTTCTAACAATATATATATTTATATAATTTCATTGAAATATGAATAACTGTCAAAGAATTTAATCTTATCAATAATATTGGTGTTATTAGTTTCATAATCGTGTAGATAAATTATTCGTGGAAGGGTAGTTAATTATCATAGAATTGATATAGTAAAGTTATTAAGGTATTAATTAGTAATAAGTTGTAGGCATGTTAGATTTTTTCTTATGATACAAGCTATTGTGGGTTAAGCAGATGTATGCCTTTTTTTTAACATTTGTAGTGTCACGTGGTGTTATTTTTAAAAATGCGGAAAATATGTATAAAGTTAATTTTTTTTAAGCTCAAAAACATAATGGGTTATAGTATATATACATATTGATAAAAATTTAATTTAAAGTTTAAATGCAACCCACCTTCTAAATGTAGAAATATGAGTATATAGGTACAAATTGTATTTTTTGTAATATAAAGGTTTTATTTTTGATGGCGAACAACTAGATCCCTATGCACTTGTTTAAGGGTTAATAGAAAATTGTGTAGTGAATAATAGTCAAATCCTTTAAAAAAATAGTTCTCATAGTGAATGTTTTTATCTTTTATTTGTTAAAATAATTTTTACTATATTGTACTATATTATTATTTACTATAATGGACAAATATGGAAAATTAATTTTAAAAAAAATAAAAATTTTTAAATATACATATTGAATATTTAGTTACGTTCGAAAAAAAATAATGATAATTAGATTTTTATTTTTAAATTTGTGTATATTTAATAAAGACATAAAATTTTCAAAATTTATATGTGAAATTTGTGTTTGAAAGTCTGAAAAATAATGAGAGATCTTGTCTAAATTTTATCGTTCTTAAAATTGAAGTGAAATTTGATTGGTTCAGGTTAACCACAATTTATTATTTCATGGGAGAAAATATTTGCTTGAATATTACAGTGAAAAAAAAATAGCCATTTACAACATATTATCTAATAAAGATATGATATCTTTGTGTTAAAGAAATTACTACAATTTTGGAAATTCATATTGTTTAAATATGAGTAGCATATATTATATTTAGATCAATTATTTTTATTCTAATTGGTGGTTCATATAGAAATCAAAGTGTTGTTATAGTCATTACCTATAAAATTCAAAATTGGTCTGTTAAATCTTGCCTCGGAATTAATTTAATGCGATCCAGTATATAATATATTGATGTTTTTTTTGACAGATGATTTCAATGTAGTACCATATGAAATAATGTTTGTTCAATTTAATTGATTTTGTATTATTTGTATATATATATATATCTAATAATATTATGGTTTTCATAATTTTTATTGTAGTCTTCATGGTGAACTGAAGATCAATTACTCTAGTCTACCTATTTATGGACCATTTGAAAGACAATTATTAAGTAATTGGGGCCAATCTAAAATAGACCGTGATACTGTAATGGTAATATATCATAATAATTATATCAGTATCAAATTTGCATTTGTTTTAACTAATTAAAATTATATTTATTTATTTAGATGTTAACTAATATTATTTTACTTTCTATTATAAAGTTACTTTATTGATTTTAAATTTTATATGATGCTTTAAATTATTGTTTTATAATAGTACATAATTTTTTTTCTATAATTTAAGCATTTAATATTGGTTTCTAGTTTAGGATGAGAAGTTATAGTTACCAAAGAAGAGGTAAAATTGTCAAAAAAATCAAAATAAGCATACAAAAATTCACTAAATATGAAAAGAAATAATGCAATTTTATTTCGATAAATATTTTTTACATATTTTTGAATATTTTGGCATTTTAAAATTTTCAGAGTATATTTCAAGGATTTTATACATATTAAAAGCATATTTAGGATTTTATCAATTTTCATTAATATATTATAAAAGTAGTATGGAATATCTGTAAGCAACAATAAATCATTGCTTATGAAAAAAGATTCTGAGCAGAGTTCAGTTAATAGTGTTGTTTTGTCACAATATATATCATATTATGGTAAAATGATTAAAACAATGTGTGTTTCTATGACAGCAATGATTGTTTAATAAAGATTAAAATAATAAATATTTAATAACAAAAATAAATAAAAACGGTTGCCAATGACAACATTATTTTTAATCTTTCAATTTTTTTAATCTAAAGAACTATGTTTTCCACATTATCTCAAATATTAATGAGAATTATAAAAATGGTCTCTCTAAAGTAGCATCCAGAGAGAATTTCCTTTCAGAAAAGGTGCTATACTTAATAATAAGAGAGTATGCTTTCTGGTAGAAAATGTGTTCACATAAAAAAAATAAAAAAATAAACATCTTTCTAAAATCAATACATTCTTCGCTAAACTCAGAATCTAAATCAGTTCTACAAAAATTAATGATTAACTATTGAATCAATGATTACAATTTAGTAAAACAACAAAAGAAAACAAAGGAAATGTTTTGATACATGTCATTTGTTTCACTGAACCGCTAAAGCTTTTTTAATATTTCCTAATTGTATTTTAACAGACAATCAAATAGGATAAGGTATTTACAATTTATATTAAAGTATTATTTGATAATAAAATAATAATACTATGTATTATAACAAATATATCTTTTATTTGTTAGGTTTGAATATTATATTATTGAAATTACAGGTTTTGTGTTCTACTATTGTTTTATGAAATAAATTTTATTTAAAAATAATTATCATTTTTATTAAAAAAGGCATTTATATGTACTAAAAAATCATAAATATTATTAAATTCTTAAATAATTATCAAAATATAAAAAAAAATATGAAAAAACAAAAAAAAAACTAATATGAACTTCTTAGGTTTTGAAACATATTTTTGACTCACATAGCTATTATAAAAAATATGTAATTTCTATAACTTGTCATCTCTATTTTTAGTGAAGTAGTACACTTTTAGTTTACTTATTTTCAGGCTTTAAATATTATGAATATCAATCGAATGGCACCTGTACAACAACATTCGTTTTTTTACTTGATGAACCATTATAATACGGCAATAATTGGTTTTTCAAAGGGAAAGTCTACTGCCTATTTAGCAAGTATATTTTCCTTGATTCTGAACAATAGTAATGATAATCAAACTGTAAGTTATAACAAATTATGATTTTATTTACCTTAATAAAAATTATTAATTTTACTTTTATGTCATTAGAATAACATAGGCATCAGACCAAAAGCTATAATACTTAGTAGTTCGTTAGGATCGTGCTCTGACCTGGAATATTTATCAAAAATATTTAACAATGCTACACATAAAACTAAACAGATTAAAGTAGTTGTAGCTTATTCTTTTATTTCAGAATCAAAAATAATAGTGAGTGAAATACTAATAAATGCATTTAAAAATTATTTTTCATTATGTTTAATACTTTAGTCCTATATTATTTATAATTTGTTATATTAAAGGGTACTTTATTGAATGGATGTGATATTTTAATTACCACACCTACTACTTTAGTTAATATAATAAACAAAACAAAATCATTATTTCATTGGAAAAATCTAAAACATGTTGTTTTCGACAACATAGATCTGATGCTGACAAGTTATGAGGATCAGGCAATTAAATAATTATACATCTATAATACCTCTGTCTTTAATCAAAATGTTAATTTAAAATAAGTAAACTTTTTTAGATGCCTTGTTTATTAAGTTATTTGTTAAAATTTAAAAATAAGTCAAATGATATACAATTCATATCTTCGTCGGTCTCATGGTCTAAGGATATTGACAATTTTTTAAATCAGTTGTTTGTTAAATGGCAATATATTTTTGGATCTCATCTAGAAGCTACACGTTACATGCAAATAGGATTTAGTCTTGTACAAGTCCAAAATGATAAACTCGAAAAAATATTAGGTAACTAAACATTCATTTTAAATATTTTTATCTGAATAAAACAATATTTTGTGAAATTCTTGTATTTATTTAGAGTTTTTAAAGAATAATATTAAGTATCGAAAATGTGTTCTTCTTACATCGAATACTAGTGAGTTAGATATAATTTATGATTACATTAAGCAAAACAGTTCTGATATAGAAGTATTGTTACCAGGTCCATTGAAATGTTCTTTTGGTAAATATTATTAGTAAAATTGTTGAGTTTTAATATTAACATTTATGAAAGTTGATTTCCAATAATCTTAACCTTACCTTTTTCTAGTTTATACTGTACAAAAGTGGTATCTACCACTCGAAAAAAATCAGCTTATATTCATTTGCAGCGATGAAATGATGTTTGATTTTTATATTGATAATGCTGATTGTTTAATACATTACGATATTCCTGTTGAGAAAAGTTCATTTTCAATAAGGTTTAGCGTCTTGCAAGATCCAAATAATATATTTACAGTTAGATTTTTGCATTTTTGATATTTGAATTTTTTGAATTGTTAATATAATTTATATTTCATTTGTTTTTAGGAAAAAGAGCGTAGTTCTTATATATTTTTAAGCGACAATAGTAAAGACATGATTCAATTGCCAAAAATAGTTGACATAATGCAGACATTTGGTAGAGTGGAACCAATTCTACTAAAATACACTAAGGTTAGAAAAGTTTTAAATACTTGAGAATAAATTATAGTGATTACAGTGATTTATTATGTAACATTATACTATTATAGAATATTTTTTCTTCGTTTTAGTTCTATAATTTTAATGGAATTTGACTATTATTATGTACTTATCTTCTCAAGCCTGTGCTATCTGAAACAGTTGTTGTTAATCTGGTCCATTCCTAGATGTTTTGAATCCATTATATTTGTGGTCTTCTATGTCCTCTCCTACCTTCAATTTTTCTTTTGACTAATTAGCCTAAATATTGTATATTTATTAACTCACATTTTATGTTAAAGTAACCTGATTCACATATTTTATTATGTTTATAATTTATGTTTCTTTCCCTATGTGTTTTAAAACATTTTTTTTTTTGTTACATAGTAAGTCCACATTTTGGAATGTTTCTAGACATTTGCATGTGGACTTTGTTAAGGTCCATATTTTCACTCCATATAGTAGAATCAAATGTTGTTGATTTGGCTTACTATCAAAACTTTACTTTTATTTATATTCAAGTTTATACTATATGCCTAGTATGCCGTGGATATTTGGTCTATTAGTTTATGTAGATCTGTGGCAGTATCAGTCAAGAATATTGTATTGTCTGCATATCTTAGATGGAAATCTGTAATAACTCTGACTGTATTATATTATTCTGGAACAAAAGTTTACTTCTCCTCCCCCCCTAAAAAAAAAATGTACGAACCGTGTAGACATGGACGTAAAAATCAGAAATTGAAAAATATTCAAACCAAATTTGACTGTAAATCAAACCTACTGTCCTTTGCTGGAAAATAAATTGTTAATCTTAAAAATATTGTAAAATGTTTGAATTATATTTACATGTATTGTATCATTTTTGAATATACATAGCCAAATGCCTATTATCAAAGCCAACAATACCTGTGTACTCTTTTTGTCTACTAATCTTTTAAGTCTTATAAAGGTGTTTATCCCTGCTCATTAAAATTCAGTTATGATACACCCATCTCGAAATCTGGTAGTCATATTATATCTAATTATAGACCAATATTTGTTCAGTTAGTTTCATATTTCTACAGTTTTCAAAAAACCAGTCTTAATTAATAAAATAGAACCTTACTTTAATAATATTATTATTGAGTAGCAACATGACTTTTCTGGGCTGTTTGTGTACCACTTGCAACTTGTGTTCATTAATTTTGTTTTTATTGTGTTCTACCAAAGACTTAAAGTAGATGTCTTATATACTGATTTTAATAAGACTTTTAGCTTAGTTAAATTAAAGTGTAAGTTCTTAAAAAAATTGGTTTTCTGAATAAATTTTATCTTAGTTTAGTTCATATATTAGGATAGAATTATATACCAATGGCTCAATCTATTCAAAACAAAGTCTAATCTATTTTTGGCTACATCTAGTTTTCCTTAGACACTTGTCCCTACTTTTATTTTTTTACTTATTAATATTGTAGTACTTAGGTTATTAATTTGTTTCTCAGACGTAATAAAACTATTAAATACAACAGAAAAAAAATATTGACACTAGTTTCATAGATTTCTGATAAGGTTTTTTCCACATTTGTTTTTAAAAATGAATAATAAAATATTCACTTTTTTTAAATTCAAACATTTTTTTATTTAAGGACACTTATTAACTTTGTACAATTCAATTGTTGTATGTACATACAATGTGAAACTATACAATGTAGGTATCAAAAGAATAATCAATATTAAATAAATAACAAACATCAATGAACTAGTTTATTAAAATGTATGTATTTTTAATATTATTTTAGATTATTAAAGAACGTTTAGAAGAACTAAAAAAAAATAGTATATTTTGTTATAATATTGAAAAATTTGGAATTTGCCCAAATTCTACAACTTGCAAGTATCGTCATGTTTTATTAAAGGAAAACTATAAGCCCAATGATAATATTCCCAGGTTAGTATACATTTCACTATGTTTAGTAAAAATGTAATTAATTTTAAAAAAAATTGATAGTAAAATAATGGGATACACACAGTATTTGTTGAAATATTGAAAGCAATAGTCATGAAAACAATTTCAAGAAAATTATCTTAAAAAATTTCAGTATATTTATGTTTTATTTAAGATAGTGGTTCCCAACTCAACAATAGGCACGGACCACTTTTATAAATTTTTCACCGTCACGGACCACTTCCTGATTTCAACCCCCTCTCTTTATATCACTTATTTTTTTTATAGTTTTATATATAGTTTATAATTTCTAGGTACAAAATAAAATCAGAAATACAGTTTATGTCGCGGAAAAATATTTTAACTTATTTATTTAAAAATTTAATTTAGTAAAAAAAGCTGATACAAATTTAAATTTTTCATTTTACGAATTTATATTAATTAACTTATTCAATGAGAAAAAATATAACAAATTTATATTATATAAATAAATATAATACGAGTAAAATAATAATAGATAAAATACTAATGAAGATAAAATACGAAACGAGTAGGTAATAACTACGTGGTAATAGTTACCGTAATATAGTAGTACAGTGGAAAAACGCAGATAAATATTTATCACAATTCAGCTACACCCGCATGACCGAATGTTATTTATATCCGTACATAAATTGTCATCGGTCGCGATAGTGTGTTATCTGGCTGTTAGGCGCTAAGCCGTTAATAATAAAAAAATATCAAGTATAATTTCGCTCGGTTTTTTTTTTAATTTTCATTTTTTTATTCGCGGACCACTTAAGATGAGTCCACGGACCACCAGTTGGGAACCACTGCTTTAGCGTTAAACATGGCGTCGCGGTGACTGGTGACGGGTCGACCAATAAAGAATTGTCACTGGGTTGGCCACTCTATTATTATCTAGGCTCTCTAGCTACAGCGTTATTATACTACTATTGTGCTACGTACCTATATTATTACCTCGACGCCAGTGTTGTTTATAGTTTTTGTTTTGAGAATGGACGTTTTCGAAAATTCTAAGCGAAAAATAGAAACCCAACACTAGACAGTCGATATTATCGATTTAAAAGTCTGTTTTCGTACGGTGTTGGCTACGAACACGATAGAAAAACAGCGTTGTACCTACGAATAAGACGCGTCAAACAAAGAATTTATAACATAATACTCGTGTCGAATGTGCGAATAATATTTGCAATTTTCCAAGATTAAAATTAATATACATATTTTGAGAGTCAATATTTGCAGTGTACCTATACGAAAATCAAACGACGTTTTATTATTTACGAAATCGCATTTTATTTATACGTCGACGTGTTATTTCGCGAACCAATGTGTATTCGGACGCAATCGGGATACCTACTTACAGTTGGGACGCGAACGGGCTGTATCTGAATTCGGCCTGAAATCGTCGGACATCTTCTACCTATACTGTCCTGTGAATAATGTACGGAGAACGGTGAACTCCTTCGCGGATTAGCGTTTCGATTCCTACGCGAGACAGTGTAATCTCCTACACCATAGCTCATATAGGGAGGTCGTTTAGTAGAAAATTTGAAGCAAAGAAAAAAAAGACGGATCTACTTCACGCGAAGGGTGGGCCACTGTTTTAGGCGAGAAGTTGGGAATGTAGGATATAGAAAGAAATTGACTGCAAATATATATATATATATATAAATATATATATGTAAAGATCGATTTTTGCTGACGTAAAACGATTCTGAACGGAGTTCGGTTGTGTGTGTTTTAAAAAGCCGTAATATTTACGATGTTCGTTAAAATTTGATATTAATAAAATTCGTATAAAAAAAATAAATACTACATTAAACCTAACCTTAGTTGAGCACTAATAACATAAAATAATGAACTTCCTGTTAAAATTCCAATCATTTCTACTTGGTCTAACAATTTTATCCACAAAGTAATTTTATAGGTACTAAATAAAAATAATTTTAAAACTCGCAAAATTAAAATGTCTATAAATAGCTCAAAATGGCTTAAATAATATTAATATTTTACCACGTTTAGAAAAGGAAAATATAAGTTTTCTGTCCGAATTGCATGTCTCTACGGACATTTTAAAATAAATTACAACAAAACAAAATGTAAAATAGTAAAAGCATTATTTTTCTAAATTTTCCCGTTTTTCGTACGTTTTTCCCAGATTTTCCCAATCATTATGAAAACTGCTTCGAAAGTAAAAAAATGACCTCCCTAAGAATTGTTGTACATAGTATAAAAAAAAAAGTGAAAAATAAACACCATTGTAAAACTAATACATTGCTAGCTTCGCTTAGAATCTAAAAATGTCAATCGTATTGTTTTTTTTTTTAAAAAAGTTAATCAATTCAAAATAATTAACTTTTTAAAATCAATTCAAAATAATACCAGTGACAATAGCTATCAAATAAGAAAAGATAGTATATACGATCAACAATGCATTTTTAATATAAAAACAGTCGCACGTTTCTCTATTTTTTTTTTTTTTTTTTTTT